ATTTAATCATCAAATTCGTCCCCAATTATTCACACAAATATTAACGGAGATTTAAGTTTCAATTCTTTCTTTTTCTCATTTTTTTTTTCCTTTATTCACTTAATATGTTAAATGATTCGGAAAATCTTTCATCCTTTCCTAACATTTTTTTAAATAAAAACGTAAATAAGGTAATTATTATTATTTCTTAATTTTTTTTACTTAAATTTCTCTTCCAATTTCCCCTGTTTCTCCAATGTCCTTTGTTGTTTCATACATCCTCGCATTTTCCGGCTCCTAAATGGCTATCCATCCACTGCTCCATCCAAACAAACCTCAAAATGTTTTAGAAAATCCAACCCTAACCCTAAACCCTAAATCCAAAACCTTAAACCCTAAACCCTAACCTTAAACTCTAAACCCTAAACCCAGCCTAAAACCATAACCCTTAACCCTAAACCCTAAACCCGTAATCCTAACCCTAAACCCTAAATCATACACCCTAAACCCTAATCCTAACCCTAACCCTAACCCTAAACCTTAACCCTAATCCCTAAACTCGAAAACCCTCAACCCTAATCCCTAAATCCTTAATCTTAAACCCTAAAGCCTACCCTAAACCCTCAACCATAACCCTAAACCCTAAACCCTTAACTCTAATCCTAAACCCAAAACCCTAAACCTTAATCCTTAAACCCTTAACCCTAAAGCCTAAACCCTAACCTTAAACCCCTAACCCTAAACCATAATTGATCATTAACCCTTAACCTGGCTTTAAACCATAAATTGACCATTAACCCTTAATCCTAAATTGATCCTTAACCCTAAACCTTAATCCATAAACCCTTAACCTTAAACCCCTAACCCTAAAGCCTAAACCCTAACACTTAACCCTATACCCTTAACCCTTAACCCTAAACCCTAAATTGATCATTAACTATTGCCAAAAAAAATTCAATTAAATTTGTATAATACATTGTGTCGGTCAAAGTATGCCTACAAAATAAGGACAGATCGGGTGTATAAGTATACTGGACGGGTAGTAATTAATAACATAAATTTTCATTCTTAAATAAAAACCTATAATCTTTAAATTTCTTACAGTTTTTTTTTTAAAAATAACAATGATAAATAACTTTTCACATCAATATAAATATAATATTCAATTTTTTTGAAAACAAGTTAAATTTATTTTCTTTCAATTGAAAACATAGGTTTTTTTTTTGTTTTTTTTTTGCAAATTATTGTTAAATTAACATTGTAACTCAAAATTAGGTTAAGTAAAATCGTGCATTACACGTGATTTAAGCTAGTTACATATTAAAATACAATCAAACTTGCTACAAATTAGAAGTTATAAAGGAATTAAAGTTACCATAAAAAGTGTTAAAGTTACCCTCAAATTGACCATCTTATAAAATACTAACCTAAGTTCGCCATATGCACAAGAATTACATGTATAAATTTAACATACTTGTATTTATTGTATTACCTCTAATTGTTTTTCGTACTACACTTTTATAACTTTTTATTTTGTTCAACCTAGTTCTACATTACTCTATCTTGGCAAAAACCTTTTGCTATATTGATCACTTAACCCACATACATAGACGGATCTAAGGGGGAGCCTACCTGCAATGCCCAAATTTTGATATTATATAAATAAAAATTCTTGTAGAAGTATTCAAGTTTTATAGTTGGCTTAGTTGGTTAGTTACTTGTTTCATAGTTTTGGAAGGTCAAGGGTTTAATTCCCCTTGTTTGCACACTTTTTTTTCTTTTTTTTTGGTGTGGATTTCTTAAACTCATATCTCTTTATGGTTTTATTATTTGAAATGCTTATAATTCCGGCCTGCGCTACAAAAAATTTCTGGATCCGCCCTTGCCCACATATATACACTCCATTTCATCATGTTACTTATACAAATATATTATATATAGATGTTACTTTTATAAACAAATGTGGCCACGCAGGCACAAGACTCACCGTTCCATGGTTAATACTTGAATTTCACTAAGTTACATTCTTTCATCTATTCTCATTCCTATTATTCGTCATCATAATAATTTTTGAAAAGATAATAAAAATACTGATGAGTATATCTTATGTGGCACTAGAATAAATGTCACATATAAGAATTTTTTATTTTATTTCATATATTTATTTTTTGTTAAGAGAAGAGATGGGATGTGGAGGATTGAAATGGCTATAGGGGTTTAGGGTGAGTACCAGAAGGCTATTTAGAGTGGCAGTGTGACTGGATCAAATCGAAGAAAGCTGAGCTCCCTAGACCCTAGCAGATGGTTTCCTCCTCCCATGACCCATGCATGGGATCCTTAAAGCTCAATACTGATGCAGCTTTCAGTGAAGATGGAAACATTGGCTTAAGGGGCGATTCTGAGAGACGAGGATAGTGATGTTCTTCTAGCTATATATATGTGTGATAGATGGAGTGGAAATCATTCAGTTGAGATTGGGGAATCTATAACTGTGAGACAAGGTATCAAAATAGCCTTAAAATATAGCACTTAGATAGACAATAGCAATATTTTTTTAGAGGACATTAATGGTAAAGAATCATTTACAGTAATTACAAACATACAAACAATGGCTTATATATGAGTCTTGAATCAGTTTGGTATTCATAATGGTCAAGCGTGCACAATAGAAATATTGTTATGTAATTGTCTGGGAACGATTGAAACAGAGGAATTCCAAGTTTATCTTCATGATTGACAAACTTTGTCAATCTAAGGGTATTTATGGTATTTCACCTTCATTAGTTGAGGATGTAATTGTCATTTCCAGCAGTTGATTGGATATAATTGCAATAACTAAGCATCCAGCATGTGCAAGCCTACGCCTTGTTGGACTTCACGGCACATGCCCACGTCTTGTTGGATTTCACTGCTTCCATCAACCATATTCTTCTGTTAGTCAAACAAACTCTTCATTAATGAATGCAAGTTTATTGACTTGTAATTACCCCACAAATGGCAGAATATGATTAAGCAAGAAGGAGGCATATTCCCTTTGTATATTTACTTTCTTCATTTGTATAAATCAACATGCAAATTTAGCTTGACTTTCAATAAAATATATTTTTTGTGTTATAGCTAGTAAATTTAATATTGTAATTCGGTTGATTTGGGAAGAAGGAGACATCTAAATTTACTTTCTTCATTTGTATAAATCAACATCTAAATTAAGTTTGTAGTTAAATTTGTAAGGTATTATATTTATCTGATTTCTTTAAAAGAAATTGTTATATATTAATCAACATCTAAGTTATTATTGTAGTTAAATTTGTAAGGTGTTATATTTATCATTTTAAAAAAATGTAATATATTAATCAACATCTAAGTTATTAATGTAGTTAAATTTGTAAGGTGTTATATTTATCTGATTTTTTTTCATTAAATTTTGGTATTTTTATTATTTTCTTATGTTACAGTTCAATGTAATTATTTATGACGAAATTGATAATGACAAATTTATGGTTTTTGTTTTGAGTTGGTGGGCATTTAGTAAGAGAAAATTTAGCAAAGGAAGCAGCCCAAAGAGATAATCTAGGCCCAGGCTCACTAAAGACACCAATGTACAATAATGTGTTGGCATTTAGTTAAAGGCTAAATGACACATAGTGCATGTTTCTTAAGGATTAAATTAAGTTTTGTTTAGGAAATAATTAATGTGTACCGAATCAAATGGAAGTCAATTGCACTCAACCAAGGTAATTGAATCACATTAAAGTCAATTTAGATGTTTATTTATATATTACAATTTAGATGTTGATTTATATATTACAATTTAAAGAAATATATTACAAACACATTCAAACAAAGCTTTTTGAATAAAGTGAAAGTCAAATGCATTTAACAATATCTAATAAAGTCATACGAAAGTCAAACACATTCCAAACAAAACAAACCTATTGAATAAAATGAAAGTCAAATACACTTAACAAAAGCTAATTGAGTCAAATGAAAGTCAATTGCACTCAAAAGAGCTAATTAAATCAAATGAAAGTCAAACTCATTCAAACATATTTTTGAATAAAATGAAAGTCAAATGCATTCGAAAAAACTAATTGAGTCAAATAAAAGTCAAACACATTCAAACAATGCATTATGAATCAAATAAAAGTCAAACACATTCAAAAAATGCATTATGAGTCAAATGAAAGTCAAACACATTAAAACAATGCTTTATGAATCAAATTAAAGTCAAACTAATTCAAATAAATCTTTTTGAATCAAATGAAAGTCAATTGCAGTCAACAAAACTAATTGAATCAAATGAAAAACAAACACATTCAAATAAGTTATTTGAATCAAATAAAAATGAAATTCATTCAACAAAGCTAATTGAATCTAATTAATGAGCTATTGTGCACAAGTTCCTTGAATTTGATGAAAGTAAAATGCATTAAAACAAACCTTTTTAAATTAAATGTAAGTCAAATGTATTCAACAAAGCTAGTTGAATCAAATGAATGTCAAACACCTAACAAACAGAGCTAATTAAATCAAATGAAAGTCAAACTCATTCAAACATATTTTAGAATAAAATGAAAGTCAAATGTATTCGACAAAGCTAATTGAGTCAAATGAAAGTTAAACACATTCAAACAATGTATTATGAATCGAATGAAAGGCAAATAAAGCCTTTTGAAATCAATTGAAAGTGAAATGCTTGAGTTGAATCAAATGAATCTAATTGAATCAAATCATAGCCACATACATTGGGATAGTGCTAGCACCGTGTTATAATTTCCCAAAGAAAATTATTTATACTTGTTCCCACATGTATTTGGAAATGGGGACACGTATGAAATTTGTTTTTAATACATACAAGTATATTTTCAAAAGTTATTACATATATTTTTACAAAGGGCTCAAATTTTTAATTTTGTTTTTTAGGTTACGCCTAAAAAAAATTAATTTCAAGTGTAAGTCTTATGCAAATGTAGTTGAATTGAATGGAATTGAAATACATTCAACAAAGCTAGTTGAATCGAATGAAAGTATGTGTGTTTATTGCGGGGATCTTTATATGGTCTTAAGCAGGCACCCCGGGCGTGGTATAAGAGGTTTGCAGATTTTGTTGCTTCTATTGGTTTTACTAATAGTAAGAGTGATAATTCCCTTTTTATTTATCGTCAGGGGAAAAATGTGGCTTACTTGCTTTTATATGTTGATGACATTATTCTTACTGCTTCTTCTGATACTCTGCGGCGTTCTATTATGTCCCTTCTTAGCTCGGAATTTTCTATGAAGGACTTGGGTCCTCTTAATTATTTTCTTGGCATGGCAGTGACAAGACATAAGGGTGGATTATTTTTGTCACAACGCAAGTATGTGGAGGAGATTATTGAGCGTGCGGGTATGTCTTCATGTAAGCCGTCGGCTACACCTATTGAGGTGAAGTCGAAGGATAGCTCTTCCGGCTCTCCTTTTTCCGACCCCACATTGTACCGTAGCCTTGCTGGGGCTCTACAGTACCTCACTTTCACGAGGCCGGATATATCATATGTGGTCCAACAGGTATGCTTACACATGCATGATCCGAAGGATATTCACATGTCTGCTCTGAAGCGGATAATCCGGTATATCCAAGGTACTCTTGACCATGGTTTGCATCTTTATCCTTCTTCTATTTCTACACTCATATCCTATACAGATGCTGATTGGGGTGGGTGTCCCGATACGAGACGATCTACCTCTGGATATTGTGTTTATTTGGGTGATAATTTGATTTCTTGGTCATCAAAACGCCAGGCTACTCTTTCTAAGTCTAGTGCAGAGGCAGAGTACAGGGGTGTTGCAAATGTTGTTCGGAGTCTTGTTGGCTACAAAATTTATTGCTTGAGTTACTTTATCCGATTAAAAAGGCTACATTGGTTTATTGTGACAATGTGAGTGCTATTTACCTTTCGGGTAATCCGGTACATCATCAGCGTACCAAGCACATTGAGATGGACATTCTATTTGTTCGTGAAAAGGTAGCTAGGGGTGAAGTTCGGGTTCTACATGTTCCTTCACGACACCAAATTGCAGACATATTCACGAAAGGACTACCACGTGTACTTTTTGAAGATTTCAGAGATAGTCTAAGCGTCTGTCCTCCTCCCGCTTTGACTACGGGGGTGTGTTAAGATAATTATGAAAATAATTATCTTGGTCAATTGTAAATATTCTAGCCTATTTTATAGCCTTGTTTATAGCCTTATTTATAGCCTTAGTTAGTGGCTTATGTGCAGCTTGTAACTTGTATATATACACTGCTATATGGAATGAAATACTCACGGATTATATTCCTTTAAAATTATTGCACAAAACTTGTAAATTATTTCATTTTTTTTGTTTTAACAAAAGGAAAATTCTATTACCTTGAAATATGGCATGTATCTAGCATCATTTGCTAATTGTCGTGGCACCTCCTTAAAACTAGGATCTCTAGGTACAAGTATATCCCTTGACATTCCATCCATAGCATATAAAACTTCTTTGAATACTCGACTCACTGTTTCGCCGGAGTGTTGAAAACGTTCTTGAGTTAATCTATTTGGGGCACCATGAGCAAGGACATACACAAATATGCCCACTTTTTCTATAATTTACATTCTATACGAGTTAAGGGTGAGAGTGGGTACTAAACTTTGCCCAAAGTTGCAAATAAGGGACTCAAGTTTCAGTTGTTGCAGTTAGAGTACTAAACTTTGTACTCTACCAGTGTAACTTGCTGTAGTCGGTAATAGATAGCTGTCATTACAGATGTTAATTTCTTTTTTTTTTGTTTGCTGGACTTGAAGTTTGAGTCTGACTGAATTAACTGAAATAACTGTCATAATACAGTTAAGTAGCAAAATAAGTACAAGAAATATACTTGTTTGAAATATAGCGATTACAATTGAATTATGATAGCTATTATACACACTATAAAAAGAATATATGCATTGTTTCATCCATCATATGCTATCCAAAACAATATGCTTCTCCATTTTGGTTGAATCTGTGAAGGAAAATAAATCAGTGAAAACATGTCAAGAGTTAGGTTAGGATATGGTAGTTCAAATTCAACAAGGTGTCACTGTGGTTTAATTGTGTCTAGGACCAGGGCTTAGAAAAAGGACAACCCTAGTAGAAGGTTTCTGGCATGTCCAGATTATGATGCAGAGACAGATACCAGGGGTTGTAAGTTCTTCAAGTGGACAGATTTTGAGCCACCAACAGATTGGCAGAGTGAGGTAATACTAGGTTTGATGCAGGTAAAAGAAATCTTGAAAAATGAGATTATTGCAATGAGGAAACAACTTTGTGAAGCCAACCAATATGGGAGGAAGTTGATGGCAGAACATACCTTGTTGAAGTTCAAAAGGGGTAGTCCAAGTTCTGCAGGTGGCAAATGTGGATCTTTATTATAATTGTTCTGGCCTTTCTTTTGTATGTTATGTATTGAAGTAGTCTTAGCTTAGTAAAAGCTTACCTTAAGAGTTTTTGCTTTTTCTTTGTCTTGCTAGGTTCTGTAATGCAATTGACATAAACTCAGTTGTTGTTGAATTGCTGATTAATAAATGAAGTTTTTGTAATGAAGTTACCTGCAATGCAAGTGTTGTTATAGTTGTTCTATCTTCCTGGATTTGTTGGCTAGAAAAGGGATAATCCTGAGTAAAAGAATAAACAGTCTTATCCCCTTCAAAATCTGAGTAGAATGCTCTATGAACAGGCTGTGGTTGTTGAACTGTTGAACTAGTATGATGTTGGTTAGATCCAGCATACATTTAAAAAAAAAATTACCAGTCAATTTAGGCAAAGCTTTTAAGTAAGTAATATGTTCATTAAGGCAGACTTATTTGCTTACAGTTGCAACTCTTTGAAACCCATTTGGGTAAGTGTAAATTCCCACTCCCCTCATACGCATTGGCAAGTGAGTGTCTGTTGGAGTGTCTCCAGTAGTTGGCTGGTGTATTGCATTGCTCCCTGGTTCTTTAGGCACATTTCTGCATCCCCTACTGTTATGACCTTGAATACACATAAACTGCAAGTCATCACAGTACGAGTTCTCCTTAACTTCCATGTACCTATAACCTCAGTTGCTTGTAGTCTTCTTTTTGTCTTGGGTCTGTGATGGATCTTTTTTAACTTTGGTGGCAGCACAAGGTCAGTACTTACTGGCCACTCCTGGGGTCCATTTAAAGGCTCTAATAGGTGTGAATAAGCCTTTAAATGCATTGCCTTTGTGAAATACTCATTCACATATGGCTCAGGGCTGTCTGAGTTACTCCATACAGCAACCACTACATGTTTACAAGGGATGCCACTCACTTTCCAAGATCTACAGCTGCAAGTCCTAGCAGATAGGTTAACAACAAACTTGTCTTGAGTTTCACCCTCCCTTAAACCATAACAAAACCCCCCATCCCAGTAGGAATTCCAACCCCTTGCCCATATTTTGGATCTTTCTAATTTCTGTTGGATCCTAGGGCAAAGCTGAATTTGTTTTTTGGCAATTTGATCCCTTTTCTTGTGCAGCCTATCCATTAAACCCTCCCTTATATCCTCTAACATTGTTATGATGGGTTTATGTCTAGAGTTTATAATGTAAGCATTAAATACCTCACTCATGTTGTTATCCACTCTATCACAACATGAGAGAGGGCTGTAAAATGCCCTGCACCATTTTTTGTAATTCCTGTTGATCAGGTCATTGGCTGCATCTTCTGAAATGTCCCTCAACTTCTGAATATTAGCTTCAAACTCATTCTCAGTTGTGCTTTTGGCAATCCTCCAAAAAAGTTTTCTATACTCAAGACCTCCACCAAACACACCTCTAAAGTTACAATAAACATGTCTTGCACACACTCTAGACTCAGATTTTGGAAAGGTATTAGCCACTGCAGCAAGTAGCCCTTTTTGTTGATCACTCATGAAAGTGTAACCAGCACCCTGCACAAGACCTAAATCAGCATCTAGAAGCTCTAAAAACCAAGTCCATGTGTCTGTGCCTTCTACTTCTACCACTGCCCAGGCTATTGGGAACATTTGGTTGTTCTCATCCCTACCCACAGCAGCTAAAAGTTGACCACCAAAAGGTCTCTTAAGAAAACAACCATCAAGAGAAATGAACCTCCTGCAACCAGCTATGAATCCTCTCTTGAGTGCATCAAAACACATGTAAATTCTCTCAAAGACATTGGCAGCCATCTTTATTTTCACAGTGTTGTTCCTATTACTTCTTAACACCTCAGCAACATACCTTGGTAGGAGACCAAATTGTTCCTCATACTCCCCCACAATCAACCTTTGTCCTATTTTCCTTGCCCTATATGCAAGATACCTACTGACTTTCAACCCCTTCTCAAGCCATATAGTTTCAACTATGTCATGTATCTTCATATAGGGATTGACTTTGAATTTGTTCTGGAAGTTTGCAGCAACCCAAGAAGCTGTCACTTTTTTGCTTTTTGGTTGTCTACCACATGTATGTTCACCTAAATGCGTTTTAATCTTGAAATTTCTTTTACCCTTTTCCCAAGATGCCCATATCTTCCATGGGCATCCTTTGTATTTGTTCTTGCAGTGACCACCAACCTTGTTCTTGTCATTTCTACTAAATGCAATGTCTCTACCTGTCTCAATACTATAATCACTAAAAGCTTTCTTGAAGCTAGTTGCATTCTCAAATGATTGCCCAACATAAAACTTACCACTGCCTAATTGAGCTCCCTTCCTCTCCCTCACTGCCTTGGTACCAGGTTGTACCAGATAACCAATGTCATCTTCATCAGATGACTGACATGGGGAGCCATAATCCCTGTTGTCCTCAGAGTCACTAGCATATCCACCAATACCCTTTCCTTTTGATTCTTCTAAACGCTTCAACATCTCCAGTTCATCATCATAACACTTTTGGTACTTCTTGTCATCACTCAACATTGTTCTAGCTGTTAAAACTTTATCATCATCTTCATCTGATCCCTCAGGATCAAAGTCTAGGAAAGGATCATCACAACTGGGGACATCAGTACTGCTAAGAAGCTCAACAAATGACCTATGGCCACCTAATCCATGTCCTAAATTTGATGTCATGTTCCTAACCACAACTGGCTCATGTTCTGTGTACATGTTTACAGCCCTAAACTCAAGTAACAAAGTTAAAAAAGGATCACATGTCTTATTGTCAAACCCCAAATATCTTATACCACTTCCAAAATCCTTTCTAGGATCCCAAAAGTGAACTTTGACAATGTCTTTGTATCCTAGGCTATCAATAATTTGCTTGACATAGTTACCATCAACATCTTCTGGCAACTCATCAAATGTAGTCACTTTTCCCCCACTGTAAACCATTTCAAATTCATCAACCCATTTACCACCATGATGAACAATCACACATGGTTTCAAGTGCAGCATATCTATGTATGATAAAAGGTTGTCAATCCATGTCCAATGTTGAGGTGTATTTTTAAAAATGTCTTATACAGGAATGATCATTTTGTGTGCATACAAAGTGCAAAGAAAGCAATGACAATGAATGGACATGCAATAACAACAAATTTACTAAGAGAAGTGTATACATAAAACATAATTCCATTTTCATTCATTATAATAATATTTGTCATTGATTACAGTCATTCAAAAGGTAGGCTTAACAAGAACTACAACCTACAACAAACTTAACCATCTAAGTGTGTCATGGCAAAGTGACAAGAACAACTAGTTCTATAATCTTGTCACACCAAAAACCTACTTATGCCATGACACATCAAACTACCTACATACATGATTAATTTTTACATAAATTTAAAAAGGATCCCCAAAAGCTTAATAAACTAGGCAACACCCCCAAAAACAAGCATATGAGTGTTGCCCCCCCCCCTAGACACCCACCCCCCAGCACCTAGTCCTCCTTAAACAAGAGTGGGAAACCGTCAAAGTAGACGATCATGTCTTTGTTCACCCAAGCGTGGAGGTCACGACCGTCATTGAACAGGATATTCCGGAGAATCCACTCCTGAATAGATGCCCTTGGGCCAGAGAAGGGGTAACTGAAGGCAAGTGTACGTAGGCGCCACCACACCCTCCACTTCACACAGACTCCCTCCACAGCAGCTTGGTCCTCCCACTGTAGGCGGTTGAAGATGTTAGTGACCAACACATCTTGTTGGTTGAAATGGGGGTGAGCATCGGCAAGAGCGTCCATACCTAAAGGCCAAATTTTTTTACCTCCATTAGTAAGGTAAAGTTATTGCTTAAGCTAAGGGTTTTAAAAACAAAGTCACACCCTTATGTTAAACACTTAAAAATAGAGCTTCACACAACAACCAAGACTAATTCCTTAGTTTAATCAAAGTCAAACACTTAAAAATTTGATAATTAACAAAAACCTTAGTTTAATCACACCACAAACCTTTATCAACAACTAAATTACTTTTTAACTCCATATCAACACAAAATACAACTTTTTGAACAACAAACAAACACAACAATCATGGACAAACAGACAAAGAAATGGAATATACCTTCTGAGTTTGTCAACCTTGCACGTTTGTGTCGTTGCTCCTCAAAAAGATCAGTGGCGGGCCAAGACATGAAGAATATAGCAACCTTCCTTTTTTCGGTGTTAATGGAGTAAATGTGTCTGAAAGGTCCCCCCCTTTAGATCCTTTATATAGGGAAGAGTGAACTCAAGAGTTTTGTCTGAAATTAGAAGTGATGAAAGGGTACTTTAGGGAAATCTTACCCAAGAAGCTTCATGAAGGCCATTTCCCGCCACTTATTACACTGAGGAGAGCAAGCATTGGGGAAAGAACAACAGCTCCTTTCTCTCTACTCAAGGCAGTGTCATCATTGCCTATATTTAATTTTTATATATATATATTCATCAAAACCGGTTATAACAGGTAAATGGAAGTTATCGGCACGGAATATTCCCTCCACTGAGTACTATACCCAAGTTCAGTACTCAAAATGCAACAACTGAAACTTGAGTCCCTTATTTGCAACTTTGGGCAAAGTTTAGTACCCACTTTCACCCTTAACTCCATTCTATACGATGGTTTTAAACCATACTTACTTTCTAAATCTGTGCATAATTCCATAAATAAAGGAGGGTACATCCTAAGAGCATTAAAACAATGTGTCTCGTGACCGTTAAGTAACTCAATCATCCACATTTGGCCGGTTAAATACGAGGTCATACAAGGTTCCTTATATATATGGTTCAAATAATACTTTGTAATGTAACATGCGTTGCAAGCAATCAAATCCCAAAAATTATCCTCCTCATATAAGTACTCTTTGCATAACAAGAGCATCTTAAGTTGCATATCATAATCCATACCTACAAACAAACAAGTTTAATTTCAAAATCAACTATATAACATAACTAATATTAATATGATATATATAAGATTTAAATGTACAAAACAAGGAAGAATTTCAATCATCCAAAAAAAGTAGCAAAAGTAATCCCATTAACACCCATACAATTTTTCTCTATAAAACATAAACATATACACGGGTTAGGGATGCGTACAACATTTCCTATTTCTTTTTGTTGTACACTTACAAAAGAAGATATATATGAATTATGGACTTAAAGAGCCATTTTGGAATTAGTTCTAACAAACAAAAGCTAGGAAGGGTCAGCCAGCTTGCCCTGTCCTTCCTAACCTTCCGAGAGGGCAGTCCACCCCATCTCGTGTAAAGAACCCAGTGAGTGAAACAGTTCGACAGCAGGCATGAAGGCATAAGATTCCAAAAGAACATATTTGTAACATTCTTAATCTAATTTCTAATTTACCATATGCAATTCTAAGTAGTTAGTAAAGTCAGTAGCACATATCACTTGTGTCCCACATTTTGTGCATACATAAACCGAATGTATTCAACTCTTTTCTTATCATCCGGTAATTCTAAAAAGATTGTCCTTCTTTGTGGATCTTCAATGAGTGTACAAGCATAACATAGTAAAATTCAAGTGAGCTAGAATCAAAATCATCTATGGAACATAATTTAGCCATAGCATCAGTCACACTATATTTTGGTGTAGCAACATTCATAGAATTCATCATATTCACCATAGCAGTTTGAAACTCTTTTGAGGAACTATTCCTCTCAGCAATTATTTCCATCATTCCATCAATTTTATCACTTAGGGCAGCACTCCCTCCAGACTTTTTATTTTTATTTTTTTCAGACCTTGAACTCTTGTTACTTTGAAAGGAACCACTCTCCATTACTCTTTTCCCTTTTCCTTTATCATTGATCTCATTAGGGGTGGATATGGGGTTAGGGGATGAAGGGCTTATTTCCCTCCACATTGCATCCCATTCATTTCCCAAATTAGAACCTACTTCATCATAATCAGTAACATAAGGAGAATGAGCCTGACGAGAACTAATGGTTGGAGAAGGAACATATGCTTCATCATCCATTGTAGGAGGATCGGCCACTAGGGTAAACTTTTTGGCTCCTTGGGCACATCCCCCAAAAACTTGATCCATTTTGTATTAAAGCTCAGGTTCAATTCCTTCATCACGAAAGATTTCAAATTTTTCATTTTCCTATCAAATAAAAAAAAAAGAGTTAAAATTTTTCTTACCTCCCCCCCATCTTGTTAATCATTAAACAACACTCTTATGATAACATTAAAAAACTAACCTTTATTTTTAAAGCCCACCACTCATCACTTGCGGCAACCGTTCCTTTCTCATGATCCCACCCTAAGCCGGTTTCCTTCGATTTCAATTGTTTCCAAAGTATCCATTTAGGCCTCATTCCATCCAATTTGTTTTTAAGCCGGCCTTTATCCCATGCTAAGTTTGTGGTATTTTCCCAATTTTCTACCACTTTTTTCCACAACAACTTGTCTGAAGTAATAGCACCATTTTTTCCTTACTCCACAATGTGTTTTTAATACAAAGATCAAAAGGTATGTGGATTAATTCATTGGACCAATTTATTCGATTTACATTCACCAATTCTTGGATTTCTCCATCATTTATCCTCTCCCCTATGTGATTACTTTTGCTTTTCTTTGGGGCCATCTAAACAAGTAAGTAAAAACATTATTACACAGCTATTTCAGCTCATATACTACATAGCATAATGAAAAACCAAAATTGTGATACGAAAGATGTAAATAACCACTACATTTAACAAGATAATTACGTATAGAATAGCAAGTTTTAAAACTCAAACTCTTAAAATTATACTCACAAGGACAAGGCATACGAAAAATGTAAATTGTAAATTCATTCCTAAAAGATGTAAATTTCAAATTCAATGTTCTAATACATGTTAGCAACTACTGTACAAATTAATTTTGTATAATTAAATTTTGGGTGAAAAAGGTGATAGTAGTAAATCTAAGGAGCAAACACCAATAAAGACGTCATTTTGCTTCCTCTTCATTTTGCTCATGTATTAAGCTAGTTGGGATCTCACTTTTTTGATGAGATTGTTTTTTTTTTTTTTAATTTTTTTTCTTTTTTATAAAAAACAAATCAGAACCCATACATTTGCAAATTGAGATCTCAACAATTTTGTTTTAACTAACCAATAAGGCTTCTTATTAAATTCTTCCCTAATTAAAAGATAATTGAAGAGCTTCATGGTAAATTCTACATCAAATTTCACCAAATTAAATGAGTATTTTCTACAGATCTAAAAAACTTAATAACCACAAAAAAAATAATAATAAAAAAGTTACCGAATAATGTAGTCATGCAGATGCCGGAGCTTGATTATGAATTTATGCTCTGCCGCTCCCGACGCTCTAGTGAAAGTAATACCTTCACCCCAACTTCTCCCAAATTCTATCTGTAGTATAATAGTGGGTTTTTTGATTTTTGGAGAGAGAAAGGTAATTGAGATGAGAATGATAATAGGTGTCATGAGGGATAAAATTGTAATTGTTATCATTTAAGCCAAAAGGCCAACCCAAAAAAGCTACTCTCACTAGCTTTTGGCTTTTGGCGGAAAAGCTGGCTTTTTAGCCAACCAAAAAGCCAATTAACCAAACACAAATTTTGGTTGTTTAATCACTTCCAAAAGCCAAAAGCCAAAAGCTATACAAAAAGCCATCAAAAAGCTACTTACCAAACAACCCCAAAGTATAAAGTAAGATTTTACGATGTGTTTGTCAAAAATGGAGGGAGTATGGAGTAGTAATGTCATTTAAAACTTCAATTTTCAGAAGATAAAAGTATATACTACTTCGTAAGATTTTACGACGTGTTTGTAAAATACAAATTAAAATAGAAATGCATAACAAAGAAATTTATGATATAAATTAAAACGTGTGATTTTTTTGTTTTTTAATTGATACATGGGTTGAAGCTTTGATTGGATTAAAGTTTGTGGAGTTTGAAAATTTAAAACTTGAAACTAAACTCAAATAGAATTGAAAATAAGTCAAATATATGTAAACCGAAAATTAAACTTGCACCCTAACTTTTAAATTATACTTTGACTAGCATTTCAAAAACTCGACGTGATGAAATAGAGAGTAGTAATATATGTTGTAGTAGGTAGAGTATTGTTTATCTGTTAGTGTTGTTATAGGCTAGCAGTATATTTTTGTTTGCTCTGTAATGTTCCTAGTGGTCCTAAGAGGCCAATTCCCTAGGTTAACTTTTGGGTGCTGTCATATCTAAGGCAACAAGAATATTGTAGCAGTCATTCATAAAAATTTCACAAAAATGCTCAATGAAAAGATCCTGCTCCCACCATATTTGCTGCTATTCTGTTTGTGCTAAAAATCGAGCCTTTTATGTCTGTCATCATGGTATCAGAGCGAAGGTCAGTATACTAGCAACATTTATACAGTAAAGTTTAAAAATTTGCTCTTTAATATTGTGAACTGTAGATCTGTGAAAGTAATATATAAAGTTGATATCTTTATTATTACAAATCCCTTGTTTCCTTGCATACTAAAATATGTCGACTGTAATAGAGAATACTAGCCCCTTATATTTGCATCCATCTGATGGAAGAAACTCTATTAGTGTAGAAAATCTGGAAGGATCAAGTAATTATAGATCTTGGAAAAGGTCAATGGAAATCAGTCTTGGATCCAAAAGAAAATATGGGTTTGTGACTGGAACTGTAGGAAGAGACTTGAATGATAGGGTTAAACAAGAAGCATGGGATACCTGTAATAACATGATAATAGCATGGATACTAGGAAATGTATCATATTCTATCAAAAAATCTGTCATGTTCATCAGTTTCTGCTCTCAGATCTAGAAACAAATTGAACAAAGGTATGATATTGCAAATGGTTCAAGGAAATATCAGTTGAACAAGGAAATCTATGAAACAAAGCAGTCAAGCAAAAGTGTGACTGATTATTACACATAATTAAAAATTTTGTGGGAAGAGCTAGAAAACATGACAAATCTGCCTCCTATAACCACCACCAATGCAGAAATCACAGCATTTCTTACTGCCCTGAATCAACATCAGGATGAACAGAAGTTATTCCAGTTCTTAAATGGACTGGATGAGAGTTACAGTCAACTAAGGAGTCCCTTTCTTATGCAAACTCCTTTGCCTAGTGTTGACTCAGCATGTAACACCCTTACATCAAGAAGAGAATTAGAGAACAATGCTGAAAACTGTGAAAGAAGAAGTTGAACCCTTGGCAATGTTTAGCAAGGGTAATAGTGAGGGTGTGAAAGGAGAAACCACATGCACACACTGTGGAAAATTTGGTCATGTCAAGAAAAAATGCTGGTATCTGAAGGGATTCCCAAGTGGACATCCAAAAGCTCAAAAGGACTTCAGAATGAACACCAATAGAGGTGGATTCAGAGGTGGAAGAGGCAATAGAGGTGGAGGTAGAATAGGAAGAGGAGGCAGAACTACGGCAAATGTGCACACAGAAGCAGGAAGCACAAGCAACAACTCCTCTACACTGCCATTCAATGCAAATCAGCTGGAACAACTGGTAAAAATGTGGCCAAATGTGGGAAAGCTTGCTGGAACAGGACAAGAAGAAGAAGATGACCTTGACTTTACATATGCAGGCATGGTGAGTTGTCACTATGCTGATGTAACAAAAGCAGCCTAGATCATTAACTCAGGTACCTCAGATCATATGACAGGGAACCTTGAGATGCTTGAAAATGCTGAGAAATGCAGAAATGAGGCAAAATAAATCTGCCAACTGGTCATACATCTGGAATTACTCATAGAGGATGTGTGAGCCTAGAGAATGGAATAAAAATCAGAGAGGTTTTGTATGTTCCTGTATTCAAACATAATCTGTTGTCTGTACAAAAGTTGGTGGAGAATGAGTCATGCAAAGTGGATCTTCATGCAAAGTATTGTGTAATACAGGACAAGAAGAGTGGAGAAATCAGAGGGATAGGCAAGGCAGAGAATGGTCTGTACTATCTCATAAATGAACCAATGCAAGATGTGATCAAGAAACTTGCTGAACTGAAGAAACATAGTGAGAAAGTGGCTTTACAGGCAACATCAACAATGACACTACTAGGGACTGTGAAGAATGTGAATAAGCTGAGTGAGCCAACTCTCTGGCACCAGAGGTTAGGTCATGCTCCTATGACTAAGATTAGAAAAATTGAAGAGTTGAAGGGGGTTGAAAAGAAATGTGAAGATGTGTGTCTGACATGTCCTGCTGCAAAATTTACAAAGCTTCCCTACAGCTTGAGTGAATCTAGAGAAAAACATGCATTTGAACTGATTCACATAGATATCTGGGGAGCATATAAAGTAGTAACTAGATGCAATCAGAAGTATTTTCTCACAATTGTGGATGAATTCTCTAGAGTGACATGGGTAAAGCTGTTGAAAGAGAAATCACAGGCATTTAGTGGAATAGAGGAATTTGTTCATATGAGCAAAACTCAATATGGGAAGAAAGTGCAAGTGATAAGATCTGACAATGCTTTGGAGTTTGATGATGGGAGCAGCAAGAAGCTCTTCCGGAAGATGGGAATGGTTCATCAGACAAGTTGTGTGGACATACCACAACAAAATGGAAGAGTTGAAAGGAAGCACAGGAATATTTTGGAGATGGAAAGAGCTCTCAGAATTCAAGCTGAAATTCCTTTGCAATACTGGGGTGATAGTGTTCAAACAGCTGTGTACATAATCAACAGGCTTCCTGATGAATCACATTTATATATGATTTATAGGCACGTTTATGCTAAGTTTATAGTTGCTTTTTAGGTCTTTTAGTCGCTTTTTAGGTCGTAAATACATAAGTTGTTTGTTTTGTACTCTATTATGCTCCGTTTGTGTTTTTCTTAATGTTTCAGGTGATTTGATAGACATTTGGACGCTTTCGTAGTGTTTGGAGTTGATTCGGATGATATTTGGATGGAAGCCGATGAATTGAGTTTATTAATTGGAGATCCCATGTTTGTGGATGTTGATTTTGATTAATATGTGCATGATACATGAATATAGCATTCACAAGGGTCGTTATGTACTTTACGGAAATGAATTTGCGTTAGAAACGAAGAAAAACGAAGGTTTGTAAAGTGGTAAAACAAACCTTTGATCACTATTTTGATCATAACTTGAGTTCTAAAGATCAGATTGAAGGGATTCAAATTGCGTTGGAAATTAGACTTGAAGATCTTTCCAATGATAGGTTACACTCCCAAAGAAGCTTCCTAGAACAGAAGACATGGCCGTTTCAATCTGAGCAATTCAATCAGCGACGAGGTGTAACACCGCAGGGCTGGCTGCGCCTCTGCCCCGCGCCCACTCGAGGCCACCTGATGCTACTGCCAGGCCGAGGCTAGGCCTGTGCCCGCAGGTCTGGTCGAGCAGCCCTTGAAGCCTCGAGTAGCTTCTTCGTCCCACATCGTACTTAGTCTTCGTACCACGTCATCCTTTATCATCCAATAATATTGCAACTTATGTATATATTATTTTCTTATTTCTTTTCTTTAATTATTTTTAGATTAGATTTAGGAAGTTTATAAATAATCAAGGGATATTATTTTTCCCTTATGCCTTTTTATGCTTTTTGTTATTTTACGTTCTTTTAGTTTTCTCTTGAACCCTAGTTTCTCATGGCATCTCCATGGATTCTTCCATGGATGATTCTTGGGTTTATTATTTAAATTCATTGAGGTATTTTATTTATATCTCTTATTTTTAATTATGTTTTATTCCTTAGATCTAGTTTTAATTATTTCTTCCATGTTTGAGTAGCTTATTTCTACGGTTTGGGAATCCATGTTTATATTATGAATCTTGATTGATGTTTTTAATATTTTAATTATTAATTTCTCTAATTGATAGTGTTTTATTGTTAATCTTGCAACCTGATCAATTGTTTGATTAATTCTTGTTAATAAGAGTTTGAATAGAAAGATCTTACTTTTAGAGGCTTCCCTACAATTAGCAATTTTGATTATGTTAGCGACCGTACTGCATATGTTGAATTGAGAGTGTTAAGACCCGACCGTAGGCTTAGCAATTGCTCTAGATAATTGATTGATTGAATTGTTATTGATATTTGATAGATTTAGAACTATAAACATGGTGAACCATAACCCTAGGTCTTTTTATTAATTGTTTTATTCCTATTTTAATTTAGACTACTTCCCTATCCCAATTTCGTGACATAGTTTAGTTTCTCCAATTTCTTAGAGGTTAGATTGAATACCATCTCTCTGTGGATTCAACCCTACTTACCCTACTACAATGTTAGTTGGTTTTGTTAGGAATTTATTTTTGACAGGTGTACGACAACCTATCACTGCCCACACCACTCTTGAATCACAAGAGTCCATATGAGGTACTCACTTAAAGTAAACCAGTTTATAGTCACATGAGAGTTTTTGGATGTTTGGCTATGGAAAGTAATCCAAGTAGAAATGTAAACAAATTTAGCATGAGAGGTGTGCCATGTGTATTCTTAGGACATCCTTTAAATCAAAAGGGGTACAAACTGTTGAACCTGGCAGAAAATAAAGTTTTTGTGAGTAGGGATGTGAAATTTCTTGAGTCTGTTTGCCCTTACAAATTATTTCATCCCCATAGTAAAACTCAAACTGAAATTATAGACAACACTGGAATTCAAATTGATAATAAGGGAATAGAAGATAATGAGGAGATAGCAATGGAAGAAAATTTGGAGTTGGGGAATATAGAGGAAATTGAGGAAGATATTGGTGACTATGAAACTGTTCATAATGATCAAAATGATAATGGAGATAGAATGAGAAGGAGCAGTAGACCACATGTGCCACCTAAATGGCACAAGATTATGTGATAGGAAAGTCCAATCTTTGTTTCAAAATTGCTCCTGAAAAGATAGAACCAATTGCCAATATCCCAACCAGCAATAAATTTTCTGTTTTCATGTCTGAAGTCACAAAAAACCCTGAACCAAATTCCTTCAAACAAGCTGTTAAGAACCAAGAGTGGGTCAATGCTATGAATGAGGAATTAGAAGCCCTTGAAAACAATGACACTTGGGAAATAGCTGACCTGCCAGAAGGGAAGAAGGCAATAGGTTTTAAATGGTTGTATAAAACCAAATACAAACCTAATGGAGAGAAAGAAAGAGACAAGTCAAGACTTGTCATCCTAGGGAACAAGCAAGTGTATGGTATTGACTATGACCAAACATTTGCTCCTGTAGCAAAAATGACTACTGTGAGATCTCTTCTTGTTGTTGCTGCCTTAGAAGGCTGGAATGTGCATCAAATGTATGTTAAAAATGCCTTTTTACATGGTGAATCGCAGGAAGATGTGTACATGAAGTTGCCACAAGGGTATACAGGAATTGGAAGCAGAATAAGTGTTCAAGGAGAGGGGGAGAAAATTGCCTTGAAAACTGACAAAGTGTGCAAACTAAAAAACTCACTATATGGGCTTAAACAAGCTCCTAGGCAGTGGTTTGCAAAGCTGAGTGGAGCACTGAAAAGCAACATGTTCTCACAGTCAAAATCTGATTACTCTTTGTTCTGTAAGAAAAAGGGCAAAATCTTGACTGTGATCCTAGTCTATGTTGATGACTTGATAGTTGCTGGAAATGACATAGAAGCTGTGAATGAAGCAAAATTATTCCTAGCCTCTCAATTCAATATGAAAGACATGGGTGAACTAAGATATTTTCTTGGCATTGAAGTTGACATAAGTGATTAAGGAATGTTCAGAGAAAATATACTGCTGATATTTTGGAAGAATATGGAATGACCAATGCAAGACCACTCAAGATCCCCATGGACCCTCATTTAAAGCTGAAAGATGACACTGGAAGTGTGCTAAAGGATGCTGAGCCATATCAGGTGGGAAAACTCATTTACTTAACAATCACAAGACTTGACATAGCATTTACAGTCCATGTATTGAGTAAATTCATGCATAAACCAACTGATGTGCACTATCAATGTGCTAAGAGGGTGCTTAGGTACTTGTCAGGTTCCACTCAATAAGGAATACTTCTTGCTTCAAAGGGTAGTGCAGAACTAAAGGCCTACTGTGATAGTGATTGGGCAGCATGCCAGAATACCAGAAGATCAACATCTGGGTTCTGTATTCTGTTTGGGAACTCTCCTATCTCTTGGAAATCCAAAAGACAATCTGTTGTTGCTAGAAGCACTTCTGAAGCAGAGACTAGATCAATGGCTTTGACTGTTTGTGAAGTAATGTGGTTGAAGAATCTCTTGAAAGATCTGGGAATGAACAAGCTAGGAATAACTTCTATATACTATGATAATCAAGCAGCCTTAGCTATTGCAGCTAATCCTGTTCATCATGAGAAGACAAAGAATGTTGACATTGATTGTCATTTCATTCGAGACAAGTCAAATGAAGGTGTTATTGCCCCTACCTATGTTCACACCACTCAACAACTAGCAGATGTGTTCACCAAAATTCTATCCGTGGAACAAATGAATCAACTCTTGTCGAAGCTTGGAGTTCATTCACTTTCCTCACTCTAAGCTTGAGGGGAAGTGATGAAATAGAGAGTAGTAATATATGCTGTAGTAGGTAGAGTATTGTTTGTCTGTTAGTGCTGTTATAGGCTAGCAATGTATTTTTGTTTGCTCTGTAATGATCTGTAATGTTCCTAGTGATTCTAAGAGGCCAATTCTCTAGGTTAACTTTTGGGTGCTGTCATATATAAGACATCAAGAATATTGTAGCAGTCATTCAGAAAAATTTCACAAAAATGCTCAATGAAAAGATCCTGCTCCCACCATATTTGCTGCTATTCTGTTTGTGCTAAAAATCGAGCCTTTTATGTTTGTCATCACGACGCAACACATAGCCAATAGGACCTTTGTAGATCAAGAACTAGCCAACATGAAGCAAACCGGGTATAGAAAGTCACAACCTACAACCACCTTTATGAATCGTAAAACCCGTGATAACGGGTATTAAACTTTGGCGCCATATATAAAGTATGAACGAATTGAACACCAAGTAAACTGTAAATGTCTCTCCGAGTGCTCCAACGGAGTTTCATCACTTGGTGCTCCTTTCGCTTCTCTACGCTAGCAGCCACCACTTCTTCGCATCCTAGAAGCCGTTGCGCCGCCATTGTCGACCACCATGATACTTTTCTTCCTTTCTCCTCCTCTTACCCTCCTCTGCAACACACTTGTAGCTCTGAAATTCGAGACTTTTTCGTGTATCGGTACCAGCATTCTTGTTCCTCAATTGAAGCTAATCAGCTTCATCTTGGAATTTACAAACATGGGTTTGAAGCAGATTTGTTTCTTGTTAATACCCTTATTAATGTTTATGTTAGATTTGGTGATCTTGTTTCTGCACGCAAGGTGTTTGATGAAATGCCTGAGAGAAATTTGGTTAGTTGGGCTTGCTTGATTTCGGGTTACGGTCAAAATGGTATGCTGGTTGCAGCATGTGCTACTTTTAGGGACATGGTTTCTGCGGGTTATTCCCCTAATAGTTATGCATTTGGTAGTGTCTTGCGCGCTTGCCAAGATTTAGGGCCTGATTATCTGAAATTTGGTTTGCAAATTCATGGTATGATATCGAAGATGAGTTATGCTCATGATGTGCTTGTTGGTAATGTGTTGATTTCGATGTATGGAAGTTGTTTCTTGGGGTCGGGGGATAATGCTAGGAGAGTGTTTGATGAAATAGATGGGAAGATTGCAGTATCATGGAACTCTATTATTTCAGTGTATTCTAAAAGAGGAGACGCGATCGGTGCTTTTAAGATGTTTGCAAGGATGCAACATGAATGTTCTGGGTTTAATTTTAAGCCTAATGCTTATACATTGAGTAGCTTAATTGCTGTTGCATCTTCCTCTTCACTATTTGGCTCAAGCTTACTACAGCAAATAGCCTCGCGAGTGCAAAAATCTGGATTTCTGGATGATTTGTATGTAGGAAGTGCTTTAGTCAGTGGATTGGCCAAGTTTGGTTTAATTGATGATTCATGGAAGATTTTTGAGTGTATGAGTACTAGAAATGCAGTCACTATGAATGGCTTGATGGTTGGGTTAGTAAATCAAAAGCGAGGAGAACAAGCTGTTGATGTTTTCAAACGGATGAAACATTTGGTTGAAGTCAATCCGGACTCTTATGTGGTCCTATTAAGCGCTTTTGCAGAATTCGATGAACTAGAAGAAGGGAGAAGAAAGGGTAAAGAACTCCATGCTTATGCAATCAGAAGTGGCCTTAGGGATGCTAAAGTTGCAGTTGCCAATGCCCTTATTAATATGTATGCAAGATGTGGGGCTATTGATAGTTCTCGTGCAGTTTTTGAACAAATGGGCGAGAGAGACTTGATTTCATGGAACTCATTGATAGCTGGTCTCGACCAAAATGAACTGTTTGAAGATGCTGTTACTACTTTCTGCCGTATGAGGAGATCTGGAATTAGGCCCACAAATTTTGCATTGATAAGCTGTTTGAGTTCATGTGCTAGCTTGGGTTGGCTGAGGCAAGGGGCGCAAGTACATACAGAAGCACTTAGATTAGGACTTGACTCTGATGTCTCAGTTTCCAATGCACTACTTTCCATGTATGCAGATACTAGAAGTTTCAAAGAATGCCAGAAACTGTTTACCTTGATGCCAGAGCATGATCAAGTTTCTTGGAATTCTATCATTGGTGCATTGGCTAACTCAGAAACATATGCATTGGAATCTGTGAAGTATATCCTGGAGATGATGCGATCGGGCTGTAGACTTAATGGGGTGACCTTAGTGAATATACTTTCGGCAATTTCTTCTGATTCCCTTTCTCTTTCTAAATTAGGCCCGCAGGTTCATGCATTGGCATTCAATTATGGCTTTGCAAATAACATTACAATTGAAAATGCGCTCATCTCTTGTTATGGGAGATGCGGTAGAATGGAAGATTGTGAATCAATCTTTTCAAGAATGGCTCAGAAGGATGAGGTTAGTTGGAACACCATGATATCTGGTTGCGTACATAATGAGTATTTATCCAAGGCTGTTGATCTCGTTTGGCTCATGATGCAGAGTGGTCAGAAGTTAGACCACTTCACCTTTGCAACTGTTCTTAGTGCATGTGCCTCAGTTGCTACTTTGGAGCGTGGGATGGAAGTCCATGCTTGTCAAATCAGGGCTCATCTGGAATCTGATGTTGTGGTGGGAAGTGCAATTGTTGACATGTATGCAAAATGTGGAAGGATAGCCTATGCTGCAAGATTTTTTGATCTGATGCCAGTGAAGAATATATTTACCTGGAATACCATGATTTCGGGGTATGCAAGGCATGGGTTTGCCAACAAAGCTTTAGAGATTTTTGAACAAATGAAGGAGGAAGGTCAACCTCCAAATCATGTCACATTTGTTGGAGTCCTATCAGCTTGTAGTCATGGTGGATTAGTTGAAAAAGGTTTCAAGTACTTTGAGTCTATGAGCAGCGACTACGGATTAGAACCTCAAATGGAGCACTTTTCATGTATGGTTGACCTCCTTGGGCGATCAGGTAAATTGGATAAAGTTGAAGATTTCATCAACAGAATGCCGATGAAGCCAAATAATCTTATTTGGAGAACAGTTCTGGGGTCTTGCAGTCGGACCAGTGGTCGCAACAGTGAATTAGGTAAGCGAGCTGCAGAGATGCTTTTGCAGCTGGAGCCCGAAAATGGCGCAAATTATGTACTTCTTGGTAACATGTATGCTGCAGGATCAAATTGGGAAAACTTGGCCATTACCCGGTCTGCAATGAGTTTAGCAGCAGCAAAGAAGCAAGCTGGGTGCAGTTGGGTCACTATGAGGGATGGCGTCCATGTGTTTGTTGCAGGAGACATATCACACCCAGAGAAAGATGCAATTTATGAAAAACTTGGAGAACTGCTGAGAAAGATGAGGGAGGCTGGTTATGTACCACAGACAAGCTTTGCTTTGTATGATCTTGAATCAGAGAGCAAGGAAGAACTCCTGAGTTATCACAGTGAGAAACTGGCCATTGCCTTTGTCCTTACTCGCACATCAAATTCCACCATCAGGATAATGAAAAATCTGCGAGTTTGTGGTGATTGTCACTCAGCTTTTCGATACATTTCAAAAATTGTTGGTCGCCAAATTGTGCTGCGAGACTCTAACAGATTCCATCATTTTACTGATGGTGAGTGTTCATGTGGGGATTATTGGTGATATTTATGTCCATAGAATACGAAATCTTTCAGGCCTTTCAAGTTTACAAACATGAGATGGAACCATGGAAGTGGAAATGATACTGCTGTGACTAATCCTTAAATACTTCATGTGTTTTGAGCATAGAACACTAATATGATGAGTTGTGGGTGAAGCAGAATAATCTTGCAATCTTGTTTTGTGGACTGCAGTTGAAATCAGAAGTCTACACAAACAGTGGCAAAAGCAGCCCTATTCAAAAGATATACTTTGTTTGTTAACCCATTTTCAAACCTTAAAGGTAAGCAACCACCCTCTCTTCTCCTCTTCATGTACGCAGCTACCTGCTCTATCCTGAATAAGCAAACAGTAGTGAGAGATTGCTCTATTGAGTAATGGGAAGCAGCCTTAAAGGGGAAGCCCTTATGGTTGCGAGCCCGAGAAGTGCTTTTTTTGGGACTTTGAAAAAGCTTTGGGGAATGAAACAGGCCCTATCAATACAGGGTCTAGCAGAACAGGCCGAGCTCCAGTTTTGCTTGCACTCTTCAATAGCACGTGCCGGAAACCTTAGCCGGGCAACTATGCTTAAGAAATGGATATGCTGCTTTGCCATGGTTTGATTTTATACTGTTAATGAAGCATAGAAATGATTTAGCAACCAAAAACAACTTGCCAAATATAAAGCAATGCTTAAACTTCTCAACAGTAAAAATCAGGTTCAGCAGCAGGAATAAACTACTTGCAAATGGATTGTATTACTCCTTGAGCTCAACAGGAGAGGGTGCCCGTTATGTCCATTGCTAGGTTATGGGACTGGAGTCTCACATCGGTCATATGGGATTATGGGGGACTGATATATGGCTTATATAAGATTATGACGTCTCCTCCAACCTTGGGGCCTTTGGGTATGGTTTCCCTGTTTCTTGGAGCAATATGTGAGAAAAAAGGAATACTTTGCAAGGGTTAGGAGGAAGAGCTTTTTAAAACCATCTCTGGATTTGCAAGTGTCAGGAAACTCTTTATTGTCAACCAAGCTCAAATTTAAGAAATTGTTTCTATTTAAACTAGCAGGTAAGCTTTAAGAATTTTACTTTAAATGTTCTTTCTTCATCTTTAGTGCAACCAACAGGCAACAGGAAAAAAATATATCCATAGAAATTGCTTCTGTTCTATAAATTTACTATTTATTGCCATTTACTTGTCGTGCATCTTTTACATGGACAGATTGACCATTGGAAGCTCATTTGTCTCTTCCTCACCAGGTAAAGTTTTATATAGCTTGTTCAGGTTTTATTAGCTCCATTTGTTATCCATTCAGGGTTAGTGGCCTTAGGTACTGTTCTCCTCAACTTATAGAAATCTACTTGTACATTTATTAATAAGCAGTTTTATCGTCATTTTAAAGTTCCTGGTATATACTTCCATTTTATTTATTTTTTTTAAAAAAGGCACTGTAAGTTCATACTATATTTTGGTTGAAGCAAGTGACTGTAAATGGATTGTTTTTCCAATTAGTTTGCAAGACAGACAGACAGACACACACACACACTTTAATATTTCATTTTAGATAGCCATTGCTTGTCTGAACATAAACATTACTTCTTACCATTATCAATTAGATTTTGCAGCAATAATTTACCCTGTAAAATATTGCCTTCCAAATATTGCGCAATATCCTGGATCTCAAATTTGTTATGTACAAGCCATTGAACTCACATAGGACATCACTTAGGAATTGAGAGTTTTTTATAAAGCTAGGATGCAACGCAGAACACAAAACTGAGTGACTGGTACCACTATCTATAAAGCTGTTCACTTGAATTTTTAAATAATTGGCAGGGTTTTTTCGCTTCTGACCTTAAATCATAGCATTATCTATTCTGTACAAGGTGTCTGACAACTTGGATCATGGGTGTTTGAATTGGAATATAAAGCATGAAAATATATTAAATGTTATTGTTTGGACACACTTTTAAATTACGTGTTTTTTAGATGTTGATTATTAACAGTATCTTATAAATCAGTAACAGATTTCGTTCCGGCATTGCTTTATACTATTACTAGTAAAACTAACATATGCAAACATTATATATGTTAGTTTTGCTAGTAATAGTTTGTAATATCTTATTGCTCTTGGGCACGATTGTCTTTTGCCTTTAAGTCTTCAGTTCATGTAGAGAGTTCATGAACCACGAATTAAACATAAAATAATTTAATATCAGGGCTCTCTGGAAAGAAAGCTACTACGAAGAACATAAAAACACTTACTGTATGTAGGAAATAATGTGATATGTCTAGCAAGGATTATAGTTTTTCCTAGTAAAACTAAAAGATTTGCTAAGATGAGAAGATATGTAACTTCTTGAAGTCTATTCTCTCTTCTCTGTTACTTTTGTTAGTTTTTCATTACTATTTGAAGGATAATACTTTGTTGCTTTTTTGTGAATTTAACCGCTAAAAGGGTTTTAACTGAGTAAGTGTCTTGTTACACTCGTAAATGTGGTCACTTTTATTCTTGAAAAGCAGTTTCTGTCATTCATTTGCAAAGACTACAAAACGAATGTTGGCTAATATGTCTTCAGAGAGTTCAGACTACTTACAAATTTCTGTGAAACTGATGAATGCTCTCTTATTTTCTCTTCTCTTCCCTTTTTTTTTTTGTGTGTGTGTGTGTGTGTGTGTGTGTGTGTGGGCAAGAGGGGTGGTAAAGATGATTAGATTCTAATTCTTTAATAAATTGATATTTCCATCAAATGTATGTGTATCTCTTATGATGCAGGGAGTAGAGGTTTGCGAATAAGTCACATGCTACCTTTAAATTGTCAATGAAAGCAACATTCTAAGGTGTTGTCGCCAGTCTCTCAAATATGCAGAAAGAACAAGATCAGGCCTCCCAAACAGCAAAACAGATAATACCTGTCCTTGTGTCATGTATTCATCTTATTATTTTAAATTTTTAAGTAGTCGAGTTGTTTATGTTTACGAGAGCAACGTTGCCGGCTGTGCCAGCTATGAGCCATACAACAGCAAAAGGTGAAACAAAGCTAATGAAGGGACTTCCTTTTGTAAGCCATCTAATCAATCAGGTGATTGTAATGTCTCCCTTAAAGGCTGTTGTGCTAAGTGGTTGCAAAAACCAGTATATTCATCCTTTAAAGTTGAAGCTGACTAATTCCAAGATCATTTTGCCTGTCTTCACAGAAATCCCAGGATGAGGTCAGTCTGAATAGAAAGCTCATTGACAGTGGTTTTGTATAGTAGAGATTCTTTGGAACAATACCTTGTGTTAGAGCAAAAAAGGCTTTTCTGAAGTAGCTTAAGGCATTTAGATCGGAGCAAGAGAGCATTTCGACAGAAAAAGGCCCTGGTGACATGGCTTCAGATTGGGGACAAGTTCTAATTGAGGCATTCTTAATGTTTATAGCTTTGTTTGTAGCTGGCATTATTCATGAGCTTTCTTCCTTATGTGTTTGAAAACTGGTCTTAGATGATGATGGTCAATTGATCATCTACCAAAGGGACTTGAGTGAACCTGATATCTGATCGACAAGACGGCAAGCAATAATATACCATTTACACAATGTCATTCTGATACTTCCAACACCCTTTTCAAAGGAGAATTGTATATCACCGACCAAATTTGGGACCTTGATGTCTAAACGAGTGTCTGTACTTGGAAGATTGGAACTATGTTCATGGTATAACAAGCACCTATGTTTGTGGTTCGGAGTGCACTACCTATTCTTCGAATTTTGTTTGATGATCAACTGTGAAAATTACATATTTCTTCAACAGGCCTGCTGATGTTTCTGCATATGTTAGTAGGTGTATTTTTGCTTGATATACCAGCCACAATCGGTCATGATTACTCTAGCAGGCATGTAGCAGCTACGATAACAGATATAATCATAGTGCTGAGAATTTAAAGAGAGCTACTAGCCTATACCATATAGTTTTCTGTCTCATTCTATATTTTACTGATATCAATTTAAAAAAAAAAAATTACGTGTTTTTATCGTGAGTATGAAAGGTTAAATAGACCAAACAAATAGAAGTAAATAACATATTATACTCCCTCTGTATCAATTTAAGTACATCACTTTGACTGGTCTGCATATTAATGCACAACTTTGATCATTGATATCTTTAATTGTGTAATAGTTTCACTTATAATTATTTAAAATTTGCTATACACACCCGGGTGTACCTTACAACCAACTGGTTAGTTTTTGTGCTTCATTTGATGATAAATGAAAAACAATCATTAAAATGAGAACAAATTCTCATGGGTGTACAGTGCACCCAGATGTATATAACAACCTCTCATAATGATTTGAGATTATGAAAACATACAATAATAAATAATCCAATAAAATCTACATAATACGATAATATTTTTTATATAAAATATAATATACTACGGAGTAGTATTAGTAAGTAAAATACGGAGTAGTAAATAAAATCAAATACTTGGTGTTGGTGGCTTCCTTTAATCACATATTGCCGGTCTTCAAGATTCCGTCTTCTGTGCGTCCCAGCTCGATAGTATGTTAGCCAGGTTTTGGTGGAGATCTTCTAGCTCTACTAAGGGCTTAGCCTTACGCTCGGCTTCTCTCCTGCACTTGCCAAAATGGGCGGGCTGGGTTTAAGAAATGTAGCCTGTTTTAACTCATCCCTCTTTGCTGGAATTGGGTGGAGGATGATTCATAATCCTCAGTTGTTGGTTTCTCGCCCCCTGTTCTCTAAGTACCCTTCTCTTGCTACTGCTCCGGGCGCTCGGGTTTCTCGGCCCTCTTGGGAATGTCAGGGTTTACAGATGGCATTATCTGCAGTAGCTCCTGGTGTCCGATGGAAGGTGGGTTGTGGCAGGAGTGTTCGTATCACGGGTGACAACTGAGCTCTTGGTGGTCCGGTTTCATTTAAGTCGGGTTTTTCCCAGTCGGATTTTCCGACTCTTGTGTCTGTTATCATTGATCCGCATTCCAACGCATGGGACTCCTCGAGGGTCTATCGGTTTTTTGATAGTCCTACAGATAATCGAATTTTAAGTCTGGATCGTCCGCTGAAGCTCGTGGATGATTTTGTGTATTGGAAATTCTCTGAAGACGGCTACATTTGTTTAGGGATTGTGACTTTGTTGTCTCTTTATGGGTCCGTAGTTCTTTTCAGAATAAATAATTCAAATCAAATCAAGAATACTGGTATGTAGTGTAAGGTCGAAATGATAATCGAGTATACGAAGTATTTCAGATATACATGGAATAGTTTACTTGTTCTTAAGCAAGGTTTTATCCAATTATCCCAAATGGGAAATTTTATTCAGTCTTCAAGTTAATTTGGTACTTTCCAGTTTCCATATAAATAGACAATTTTTTTTATATTAAAAGACTTACAAAATATAAACTGCAACATCTTCATCTTTGCAGTATCAATGAAGTGCACTGGAGAGTAAAGAGAGAGAAAGAAAGGGGTTTTCAGGGGTTTTATCTTTCTCTCTTCCCCTTTTCAAAGGTATGTCAATCAAATTTCCCCTACTTCGGTTTTTTACTTTTTAATTTGTTGATTTCTTGTTTACAAATTTTATTTCACAATTCCAACTTTCTAATTGTTAATCATACCAAATGATTTGCGTCAACTACGTGAAATCTGATTGATTATACGCACTGTAAAATTATTTTCCTGCAATTTTTTTAGGGGATTGGTAATAAAAGTCTCATTCTTTTCATTATATTCATAATTGAAGCTGCTTTGTTAACATACCCACTTATTCTGATTTTGATTAAGTAAAACTTCTTTGATTAAGTGGGCTTTTGTTCTGTGTATTGGGTTTGAATTTTCTGATTAACATCTTCTTGCTCTTGTGGATTTTTAGTATTTATTAGGCATGTTCTGTATTCTTAATTGTTGAATAAAGTGGAAACCTTTAATTTTTTTTTTCTTTTTTTTTTTGGTGGTGGTGATGGGTTGAGGGGGAAGATATCTGTCTGTGGGGAAGAGGGAGATGTTAAGATTAGGTCGTTTTCGATAAAGTCCAAAGGACCGCGAAAAGAGTCCCCTGATCAGGCTTGGCTATCAGTGTTTTGTAAAAATGAAGTAAATTTTTAGAAATTATCTGGAAAATTATACTTTTGACTTGTAATTTCTGCAAATGTGATTTGAACTTGTGAAGTTTTGTTAGCTACTTGATTAAGATACATTCTGTAAGAAAATTCTCTTTACTTATGTTCTCAATATTTCATCTCATAATTTTGAGCTGGATTTAAATGCAAGGCATCCAGGTGTTTGGTATTGGATGATAATCTTATTTAAGCTTTAAATGTGACATTCAGTGAAAATGCTATTTTAAGCAGGATGGAGTTTTGCTAGCATAGGAAATTTTTTTGGTTTTGTATAGCTTAGATGGATTTAGTACTTGTGTCGTGTCGTCTATAGTTTTGAAGAAAGGCTTTCCAGAAGTTTATTTTTCTCTCCTTGTTGTAGAATTCAACCCTTTTATAATTTATAATTTTAAGGGAAATTCTCTATTGTGACCCTGTAGTATACCACTTTTTTCAAAATGACCCTAACTTATACAACATTCTTCAAAATGAGCCTGAACTTCGAAAATAAAAAAGATGAAAAGGTACGGTGATAGTTCATAAATCTGTTACTTTGTACGGTAATAGCTAATCGCTAATTAAATGAATCCATTCAGTTCTTCTTTCACAAAGACAGCCATCATTTTAATCTTACTGACATCTGTTAGGATATAGTGCTAATTGTGCATAGAATATATAAATATAAAGATAAATATGTATAATGGGTTTATAAATAATTTTATTGATGATGTTGTGATATATATTTTTTAAGTTTACAATGACATTTATATAGAAACATTAATTACATTGGCATAGTTAAATATAATATATGCCAACTTCAATGTACAACTGCATCACTATTCTTAACATTGCAGATTGATTTGACGACATACTTAACTATATATATGTCGATGATAGTGAGTAAAATAAGGAAGGCCTTCAATTTTTAACAACATCCATTCCTTTTAACCAAGATCTAACCTTTCCTTTGAACAAATAATCCAAGCAATAAATTATAAGGGGCCGTTTGGTTCGCATAGGGGAATCGGAATGGAATGAACAAAGGGAATGTAGGAGAATGGAATGAAACCCTTTTCAACTAGTATGTTTCAAAAAACAAAGGGAATCACCACCACCACCGCACAACCCCCTTTCTTCACTTTTCTAGCCACCACGAGCCACCCCACCCCACCGCCCAGCCACAACCTCGACGGGAATCTTCATCCCTCGGCGCACCTCCCCCTCCCCTCGCCGTCCCTCCCCTCCCCGGAAAATCGTCCACCACCCACGCAACAACCCTAGAAACACTATCCCTCCCCCGAAAAACGTCGGCCGACTAGCCTGCTAGGGTTTTGAGGATATGGGGAAGGTCGGCCGACGTTTTTCGGGGGAGGGATAGTGTTTCTAGGGTTGTTGCGTGGGTGGTGGACGATTTTCCGGGGAGTGGAGGTATTTGTGAGGGGAGAGGTGGGGGAGGTGCGCGGTCTCCGGCGAGATGTGGGGGGAAGTGCGGCGGGCTCTAGCGACGAGACTGGGTCAGCGGCGAGGTGGTTGGGCAACTTCCGGTAAGTAGACGGTGGTGGGTATGGTGGCTAGGGAAAGGGAATGGGAAAGTGTGGGGGGGTGGGGAATCAATGTAGACTAAAAATGGGTGAACTTAAAAATAAAAATGGGTAAAGGGAATCAAAAAAGTGACAAACAAACAACAACAAAGGGAATGATATCAGTTCATTCCGATTCCCTTTGATTATTAACCCCAACCAAACGGCCCCTAAATCCTTTCATTTACAATCCATACTATATTGAAATTAAGCAGTGAACACCTATTAAACATCAACGTTAGTATATAATATTAAGTTCATCCGAAAAAATAGTTGCACACTATACATTGAAAGTGAACTCTATGCTAATACCATGCAACAATTGCAGTAGAATGTTTTGGGATTTAATAGTAGTATTTAAAAAAAAAAAAAAAAAAAAAAGGTTTACGTTCATTCTCAAAAAGTATAGCTTTGTTCAAAGAAAAAGAGTGATATCTACTGTGTGGAAGTTTGCTCAATAGGTGCATACTTCAACTTTCATTACATTTAGAGCATTTGATGGTCACAACTCTTGTTCCTTCTTTTCTTCTCCTTTTTCTCTTCTCCTATTTCTTGGAGGTTTACCAATTGTTGTTCTAACAGGCCGATGCAAAATTTCGGAACATCCATTTCTGGCCAATGGGTTAGGTCAGTCATAGGGAGTATGTTCATGTCATAAAATGCTTTATAAGTTGCACTTGAGTAAATCTGAGAACAATATAATAAGGGTCCTCCCTATTGTGATGTATAATCATTATTGTATGCTTGCAAGCGAAACCTGAAATCTGAAATCTTCCACGTAAGCTATCTTTTCCACATAAACAACCGAGAGCATAACATGAATTTCTTTCTACTTGAGATATGCCAACTTGCCAAGATGTTCGTGCATGGCATTTATGGTTTGATTTGTTTCTATTGCTTTTAGATCAGAATTTCAGGTTTCTTAGCCTCTAGAATTTTGTTGCCATGGCCCATGGTTTATAGATCTTGCTACCTAAAATATGTAACGACTACATTTCCACGCCCTGAAAAATTGTATCTGCCTTGCTACCTGAGATACATGACAATAAAGTTTCCCTTCACAACATATAAGAACTACAGGGAAATAATTTAACCATTTTGGTTTTGTTTATTATATTCCACAAGTCAAGTATCAAGGACCTTTGACACTATTGGAAATGGACAAATCACTTAAGACACATTGATTTGTGAATTTGTCGAGTTGGTTGAAGTCTTGACGTAATTTAATGTCCAGTAGCTATTGAATTCTGACATGTAAGCTTTTGCCGACTCTGTCTTAAATCCTGAAGTTCTTCTCATGCCACCTAATTTAGGAGCATGGGAGCTTTTCGCATCTTGATGATGGATTTGAGCCTGAAAGGCTTAGGTACTACGGTAGATCAAGAAGCCCTTATATCAACAAACCTTGCGTTAATGTGGTATTTGGAACGTCAATATTGACTTTTTACTTATTTGCTAGGGAGTCTGTGATGGACTCAGACTACCACTCTACTAACAACAGTAAGAAATAGATAGAAACAGAGCAAATGAGGGAGAAAGCTTCAATCTTGATTATATTTAACAATGGCAGAAAAAGTTTCACACAACAGTAGGTTTAGCCTACAACTCTCAACAATGGGTTTAGCCCACAACACTCAGAGATAACTCTATTACAAAATGCCTGCCCTAAAACTCCCCCCCCCCCCCCGCCCCTTTCATTTATATATACAAGTTCTCAAACTGATTTGGTGGCTGATGATTGCAATTTGTCTTCAAGTGTGATTTGTCTTGTTGTGCTCTTCCTTGCTGATGTTCACATTTGTATTCTCCCCTCCATGGGCCAAGTTTCCTGTTTGGCCTCGCCTCTTCCTTGCGTAGGTGAATCTCACAGGTTGCTTGGCTCGGTCCATTGCACATACTTGCTCTCATTTTTGAATCTTGGTTAGAGGGTGCTGAGGTACAGTTCGTTGTAGCATTTGCATAACTAGATTGTACTCGTGCAAAATGCACGAGATATATTTTACATTAGAAAAAATTAAATATATAATGTAAGAAAAAATATATTTCAAATAGGAAAGTTGATTTGATGTAGTAACTTAGGCCATGTTTTTTTAGAGCTGTTGTGGTCTGATCTGTTTTACAATGTTCTGTTCAAATCTGCTCTATTGTGTTTTAGTAATTTAGCTGCCGACACCTGTTCTGCTGAAATCTGATATTTACTGCTTTGCTCATGAACTCAAAAAACAAGGCTGAGTCTTATATGTGAGTGGACACACAATGAAGCCAGCTATTATGGGGGCTACTTTATTAAATCTATAGAGGTTACCCGTTCTGTGTTATAGCCTTATAGGGGTTACTTAGTTAGTGTCATAGGTCTATTTTTTATTCTTTTGCAAGTAGGTATTAGGTGACGCCAGTCGCGCAAATAGTATGCTGTACATTTTTTATTTATTTTTTAGTTTTATAATTAGAGATGTGGAGATTGTTTGTATGATAGTCCCCAAAAAATATGCATATAATTGAAGGATTGGGGATTTAGAGTGCTATGATGAATTAATGATAAAGGAACTGTATCTCCGTGCTAATGCACGACATATATTATACTCGAAAGAAAATAGCACAAAGTGAAATGTTAGTAGTGTTAAAAAAAAAAAGTGAATTTTTATTAATTGTTGCAATCCCTTGAAAAAATACCAAAAAAAAAAATAAAAAAAAAGGGTGGGATGGGTAGTTATTGTCCTTATTGATCTTTTTTTTTTTTAAATTAAAAAATACATAAATAATATAGTGGGAATGTGGGATGGGTACTTGGGTAGTTATTGGTTTGTAAAAAAGTAAAATTTTAAAAAATAAAAAATAAAAAATAAAATGCATGAGATTTGAGTTTTGAGGATTTGTAGGGTTGTGGTGAATTGACTCTGTAATTATATATGAGATTGGCTAAACCCTTTATATTAAGGTTGGATGAACTTGCAAATTAGCTGTGTTTTTTTAGAAAAATGCACCACTTTTGGGGGTCTTTGGATGAGAGAAATTGGTTAAAGAATAAAGGTTCTTCTTCATGTAGGTTTTTTTTTAAGTGCTTGAAGACCACTCCATCTACTTCCTTTATTTTCCACTCTCTGGTTAACTTAATAAGTCAAATCCTAATGGTAATTATGTCATTGATGTGGACTACATGTAGGATAGGATGAACATCAAAGATTACATTTATAAACAGAAACCACTTATGTGCTTAATCTTGTGTCTTTGTAGTGTGGAATTTTGGAGCCAGATGTTCATGCATTGTGGAATAGCTCTGTTTTATGTGGAAGTGGTTTAATTTATATACAGTTTTGGAGATTAGACAGGTTTTCTTATAGAGACTTTTTTGGAGCATTTGCAGGTTAACTATGTTTTTGGTGGGCAGAAGAGATTAAAAATCAGCTGGCGTGGCTATTCCTGGGTGATGTGGATGGAAAAATGGGACTGAAATAAAGTAAGCAAATTTTCTCATTGGGAAGTTTTGGTGGGGTAGATTTATTTTTCTTGCTTCTTACAGTGTTGTTCAATGCTTGTATTTTTAGGTTAAATTTTAATAGATATTTTAAATGTGATAGGCATACATTATCATTTTGTTGGGCTTTTAAGTTCATTCTTGATCCTTTTTAGATGTATGTTCTTTGTAGTGAAAAAGTATTACTTTTTATCTAAATAATATGTTATAGATCTTGTTTAATCCCATAATTAAGGAAGAAAAGTAAATGATTTGAATTTGAGAAAAAAATGATGAAGCTTGTACAGTTCAAAATACAGTTAATCAATCTTGATTGTTGTAAGTCTCTAAAGTGGCCCATTTTAATTTATCTCACCTGTGTTGAAATGCATTTTTCTTCTGTTTGTCAACCTACTAAGACCACCAAATAAGCTTGGGCTACTAGGTCTTCGGGATATATCCAAGATACTTTGCACCAAATAAATCAGCTTAGTTTTTAATACATGTAATCTCTCAACTTGTCAAATATGAGTGGATTTCTTATGCTGGTGGGAATGGAAATTTGGAAATATTTCTTATTGAACCTTTAAATTAGCAATGAAACCAGCAAATAATATTTGGATTCAAAAGGAGCAATGCCCCTGTGGAGACTGGAAGTGTTTTATCAAATATGAAGGGGAGGAACAAGGTCAAGCTTGTCAACCAACAAAAAATGGGACATCATTATCATCTTCTTCTGAAGTTATCTTTGCACCTTATGTGGGTCAGATTTTTAAAAGTTATGATGAAGCTTTTGAGTTCTACAGTAACTTTGCTCGGAGGAATGGGTTTTCAATCAGGAAAGCACGATCTACTGAAAGCCATAATCTTGGTGTTTACAGAAGGGATTTTGTTTGTTATCGTTCCGGATTCAATCAACCTAGGAAAAAGGTTAATGTAGAGCATCCCAGAGATCGCAAATCAGTACGTTGTGGATGTGATGCAAAATTATACTTGACTAAGGAAATCGTGAATTGTGTTACTCAGTGGTATGTTTCCCAATTCAGTAATGTACATAACCATGAATTGCTAGAAGATGATCAAGTGCGTTTACTTCCTGCATACCGGAAAATACAAGAAGCTGATCAAGAACGGATTATTTTACTCTCCAAAGCTGGGTTTCCTGTTAATAGGATAATCAAGATCTTGGAACTGAAAAAGGGTGTTCAACCTGGGCAACTGCCTTTCATAGAGAAAGACATTAGAAACTTTCTCCGTACTTGCAAGAAAACAGTTCAAGAAAATGATGCTCTTCTTACTGAGAAAAGGGTAACTGATATGATGGAGCTGCTTGAAGCTTGCAAGGCCATGGCAGAAAGGGATGGGGATTTTATCTTTGATTTTTTAACAGATGCAAATGGCAAGGTCGAAAACATAGCATGGTCGTATGGCGACTCTGTTCGTGCCTTTAACCTTTTTGGTGATGCTGTTCAATTCGACATTACTTATCAATCCATCACTTACGGGATGCTTCTGGGTTTATTGTCTGGTATAGATAATCATGGCAAGCCAATTGTCTTTGCCTGTGCTCTTGTCCAGGAAGAAAATCCCCATGCAATTGTGTGGGCCTTACAGGTTAACTTTATCTCTCTTTCTTTATACTTAAACTTCATTTTTTCCCTGTCATTAAAGCTTTATTTCTTCGAACAGACAGTTGTGCGATTCATGCGAGGAAGACCGCAGACGATAGTGACTGATCTTGAGCCAGGGTTAAGAGACTCCATAGTAAGCGAATTGCCTAATACAAAACATGTTATATCTTTGTGGTACATTATGTCTAAGCTGAGTAGTTGGTTCTCTTTGCCTCTTGGACTGAAATATTCGGAGTTTAAGTCCGAGTTTGAAATGGTGTGCTATGTGGAAAGTACAGAGGATTTTGGACATCTCTGGAGCCATTTGATCACAAAATTTGGACTTGGGTCGGATAAACACATCTCTCTATTATGGTCATGTCGAGCATGCTGGGCTTTTTCATTTATTAAGGATTGCTTTGTCGCCCGAATCACAACAGCTGAATACATGAGATCTGTTGATAGTTTCCTGAAAGGCGTCTTGAATGAGCAAACATGCTTGCAAGTCTTCTTTGAGCAGGTATTCTTGTTATGATGTATGATTACATCTAATTGTTTATTGCTTATATCTGTAAGCTTTAGCATTCTTGTTTTGCAGGTTGGACTTGCTGCAAAGTTGGGTTATGGAGCCAAGGAGGATTTACCTTTTTTACATCTCAAGACGTGCATGCCTGTTGAGGAACATGCACAAGGCATCCTTACACCATATGCCTTTAGTGTGTATCAGCATGAACTCGTGTTGTCTGTGCAATATGCAATTATAGAAATGGCCAAAGGATCTTATGTCGCGTGCCATTATAAGAAAGTTGATGAAGAGTATCTTCTGTTATGGATTCAGGAAGGTGAGCAAATCCACTGCTCGTGTAAGGGATTTGAACAGTCAGGAGTCCTGTGCAGGCATGCTCTTCGACTATTTATTACTAAGAATTATTTTCAACTTCCATACCATTATTTTCCAATTAGGTGGAGATGGGAAAATTCTTTTTTACCTATGGATCAAGAAAGTTCTCGACTGGTCAAAGAAGAGTACTATCGTGCCTTACATTCTCTTACAGATGCACTTCTGACTGAGTCCTTGTTTTCTAAGGAGCGGTTTAACTATGCCCATAAGGAACTCACAGCACTCCTTGATCAGGTTAAAAATATGCCTGTTGATGAAGTTCCAGAAATATTAACTAACAATTTTAGTGAATCTTGAATTTTCTAGTGGATCAGCTGTCTACAATAGCAATTGCTGAGTCTAGCCATGGTTTACAAGACATTAGAAGATTACAAAAATAAGTCAATGTAGACTACTCTGCAAATTAAATTGTGGTTGGAATACTGGTTCAAGTAAATAGAATTGTCAGAGATGGAGCTATGGTGTTGTGTTGTCATCCATGACTTTTGTGATGGTGTAATGTCAATTCTTATTAAAAAAAAAATAATAATTTAAAAAATAAAAATAAAAATTGATGTTTCTGTACAATGCATGCGATGTTACTGTTTCTTAATCTTTGAGAAATGAGTATAAGTAGTTCCAGATCTTGTATTAGCTAGTAGATACATCATATATGCATGGTTCACTCTCATTGTAATTGAAATTGGTGGATAGTAATGTACTTGTCACATCGTGGAATCTCTTTGCTACTAGGAGCTAATGAATCAGTCTTTGTCAAAAATGATTCAGAATAAAGTTTTCTTTTTGTCTATTTTTTTTTCTATTTCAGAACCTTTCTGATGTTACAGAATAATAGAATATGCATCAAATAGGGTATTTTGTATTCAACCAGTTTTTAGTGGGGAATTCATATCTGCAATTTATATTAAGGGGACTTGGGTTGGGTGGGTATTTTAGGTCAAATTTCAACTCTATTTTGGTAAAAAAAAAATTGTCCATGGGCTCTCAAGAATTCTAGTTATTTATAGTCAGGTTTGGGTCTGGTCAGGTTTCAGACTGGTCAAATTTCGACAGGTCTGACAGAAGTCTATGTTCTTCGCTCCTTGCAAACTGATCAGAATTCAAGATCGCAGGTGAGTTTACTGCTCTTGTTGCATGTTCTTTTTACATGTTAAACTCGTAATAGAAAATGAAGTTAAGAGAGTTTTTTGTTGGGAAACCGGTAACCTTTGAAGTTATAACCCTTTATTTAAGTGATCAAATCACCACCCATTCTGTATTGCAGAATTTCGATTACTGAAAGTTTCTCTTTTGCAGTAAGGCCAGTAACAAACCACGATCATGAGTAAGGGACTTTGTTTCTGATGTTCTACACCTTTACCTCTATGTTGTGTGGGCCAGTAAAAGTTTCTTTTAAAAGTGGGATTGATGGATAAACATATGCCAGTAACACTAATGATGTGCCACATCGTCTGCAGAGATTGTGAAACGGTGGAGATTAATCACATTCAATTCTGTTAACATCAACCTCAAAATAGCAGTGCAGGCAGTTAACCTCTTAAGTGTAGTTATTGTATTTTGGCCCCAAAAAATTTTCATATCATGAGTCTCTTATCGTCTTTGTTTGTGTGCATTTTCAGGTCTGACATTCATCTAGTTGATGTAAACACATTGATTTACTGTCCAACATATGTCCATCTTATGACACATAGTTCAGTTTTTACATAGTTGGGATACATGAGATTTCGTTGTGGCTAACCCAACTGGTATATGATGTTTGTTTGCTTCTATCAGGTGGCTTGGATGCAGCCTTGCACTTTTGCAGCATCTATATATGTTGCTATGGAAACCTTCCTCAAACAGATTTGTCAAGTTTATATTAGTCGCATGACTGGCTGAGGACCCCGAACTTCAAGAATTTAGCTCGGTGTTTCTACTTGTCAAATGGAAATTTGAAGGTAATGCAAGGAATCAACTATCTTAATATCATTGTGCTGTTTGAACCCTTCTAGTTTTTTTTAGTTTTGCTATTATCAGAGCGTTAATTGTTGTTACTCAAAATATGGGATTAGAGGTTGAGATTAAGCAAGAAGATTAAATATAGTATCAGATCTAATTAAATTATTCACATAGTATCAGATCAGCAGTACTGACTACTGAGGATTTCTTTTTCATAGAAGAAACATAACTCTGCTTCAACTCTTTTGGCTGCTGCCTTCCGCATCTGTTGGTGTTATGTCAGTTTGGTACCTTCTTGAGACATTGGATGCGTACGAATAGCTTTGATGTAGCAGCTGACATACATTCTGACAGAATCTGAACTGCTCAGCTACTCACTTAAAAGAATGGGAAAAATATTACAGCCAGGGAAAGTTAAGCCGATCCGGTCAGAAATTAGTTGGGTCGACGTGTTAATTCAATGGATTAGGCTAATGTTTACATTTTCAGCTACTTCTTGTGAAGGAAAAAACACTCTGTCTATTATATACGGCGTTAACTTATTTTGCTAATCTTAAATTATTTTTGCTAAAACACAGTTATATTTGTTGAAATTTATTCATATAACCAATAAATAAAGTAAATAATATGATATTGTTATTGTTAATATTTTCAAAGTAGGATTAATTTATAGTTATCCAAAGTTAAATCTCATAAATTTAGAGAAAAGTGGAATATCAATTTTAATTTTCTGTTTATCATGTCAATCTTGATTTCATTGTACTGTGTTAACTTTAATCGCCCCATATCTGGGGTTATCTGCTAATTTTCATGATAGTTAATTTTTTAATGAACAATCGGTTGTACTTTGTGTAAAATAATTAAGGTTCGATTTGTATTTGCATGTGCTTATACCTTGTGAGCACATGCACAAAAAAATTGGCTATGTTATACAAGTACCTTTTTCAAAGTACATACACCCAATTGTACGATAAATATACTCTATATATCTCTTATATTCCTGGTTGCCAACTGCATGGTAATAAGAATGCATATATGAAAACAAAATGAACATAGAAAATGTGATCTAATAGATAAAGAATATTATCTATTAATCTTATTCGAATTACTCCTTTCTATCCCTAAATTAAAAGCCTTTTTCTCTTTATTATGTGAGTAATAAATATTATAAAAAGGTTTTGTATTAAGGGACGGAGGGAGTACTAGAAAGTCATAACATTTTAGTTGAAATTCACAGTTAAAATGATTCATTTAATTTGACCTAAAAATTGAAAAATGAAAGCTTATATGAGCACGAATGGAGTATAAATTAGTACGGATCGAGTAGACCTCTTGCTTAAGTTAACAACATTAAATGCCTAATTAATGAAGTTCCCACCGCTAGATTAAACAATATTATGGCTAAATGATACATTAATTTCAGTCTTAAGCATACTATTAATAATAATCTTGCACGGTTGGATTACTAAGTTTATGTAACTGGGACAAAACTCCAGAAATATTCTTTATGTCTTGTTATTGTTTACAATGTTGGGGACCATACTATCATCTTGGCTTTAAAATCTAAAAATAAAATTAAAGGAATAATTAGTAGGGCTTGTGTTGTGTCTTCCTGCTTGTGTATAGCTAGCTACCCACTTAATCTTGTTTGGGTACTAGGAAACTTAATTCAATCTACAATAGTTTTTGTATGTGTTTTACCTGTTTTTGTTCAGATCTTAATTTTCTCTTTCCAGCACTTACATAGTAAAGAATCAAAGAGATTTGTACTTTGAGAATTGAAGCTTTAAGCTTGATCGGATCGTGTGTGAGGTTTGGTTAGAGGTAGCTATGATTTATGCTAGGCTGGCTCTCATCGGTCTAGACATTTGATTGGAGTTGAGCCGATGGAGATCCTAACCTAGATACAGAGTAGATAGGTTGGGGTTTGATACGTTATACTATGGTATAATGGGAGTAAGATACTTTCTACGACGGCTAGACCTTTACAATGTATATATACTTTGTTTCGAAATGATCTTCTTATTTGGAATCTTTTGTGTAAATTAAGCTAAGAAAAGAGTATTGGAATAAAGTACATTTGGACCATTCAAATATAAGACTTTTTTTTTTTTGAAAAAAAGTACATTGGGACAACTTATTATTTTGGAATAAAGTACATTGAACTTCTTCTTTTTTTTTATTGAATTGAGACCATAAAATTAAGGTAATATAGGAAAATAACGAGGATAAGTGAGGAATTAAAATGGAAAGTGGAAAAATCATTTTGAAATACACAAAGATCATTTTGAAACAAAAGGAGTTATAGATAGGATATTGCTAACGAGTGTCACGAGGTGTTAGATAAGGAATAATCATATTGGTTCAAATGGTATTAAGTTAGGAATGCATGACAAAATCACGTGTCGTTCGTTATAATTAATGTTAATTTTACTCTAATATTTCCACTTTTAATTATCTTATCTAACATCCCGAGGGCGCTTATTAGCTTTTGCGTAATAGATAAGGTTGTTAATTGAGCTGGTTTGATGATGACCTAATTACTTCTTTTTATCGTAAATGAACAACATGGTCAATAATACTACTAGTAGGAGCTAGATAAGGGTGATTAGTAAGGCTAGCTAGCACTTATTGGCGCTGTCATTTTCGGATTCCACAAAGATCAAAATCCACTTCATTTGTTTATATATCTTGCATAAGATAGTTCCAAATTATTTTGAAATAATTAACTAAAGCATATCTCAAATTGGTATATGAAAGCTCAATCCATAAGCACAAAATATTCCCCATAACTTTAATGATCATTTCATCTCATTGTGTATTTCATGTTATGTCACATTTTATCCACAACCTAACATATATATCAACCAATAACACTATGTTGTGTAATTATTATTGTATTAAAGTTAATGATGCGTCCAAATCGATTCAAAGAGAAGTAAGATACAAGATGTCAATAGACGAGTATGAACAAATATCTCAACCTTTATACACACCCAAAGTGTAAAATAGATCATCATGAATGATTAAGACGAAGATATTCATTCAATTTCAAAGAGTCAAAGGTATATGGTATACAATGACTTTTTTTTAGGCTATTAGATAAATAGAATTGATCAGCTTAAATGTAGATATAAATTCTTGTGTCATAAAGATTAAATATCTATAATTTTCAAGGGTAATGTTATATGTAGCCCTAAGGGCTATATATAAGCATTAAATATACTCGTGAAAATTGTATAAAATTAGGAATTTATGACAAAAACACGCGTAAATCAGTGTAATTAGTGTTTATATTTTCATGATTTCTCAACTTTTTACAATTTTCAAGTGTAAATTTAATATGTAGCCCTAAGGGCTATGTATATCATTTTTCAATTTTCAAACAGAGGTTAAAGGTTTAAAGACACTTTAAACATTTTGGTCTAAGATCCGCCACTATATACGATACGGACCATACGATAACTCATAGCATAAAACATCCCCTAGTTAGAATCATGGCCTTTCCTCTCATTAAAAGTCAGAACAAATATGTTAAGGAGCACGCATTATTTAGAAGAGCACGAGCATATTGCATATAATTTTGAGTAGTAAGAACACATGCATTATAATTTTGTCCCAAGTTAATAATGTTTGTTGTGGGTTCGCTTTGTCAATGTAGCACCCTATATGAAGCACTCAAAGACCAAGCGAGAGTGAGTAAATGGGGCAAGAGATGATGCGGTCTTTGCACGCTATTGAGATTTGTTATTTATTACACTATTGCTTTTCAAAGTGGTGGATTTGTTAATTTTGTCCCTTCATCGCACGATATCTTACCCATTTTACACTCCTCCCATCTTAAACAAATTTTTAGTGAGGTCTCCTGTCTTGTTAGACTCGTCTCAAAGTATAATTTTATAAGGGCAAATACAAGTTTATTTGTCAGATAAACGAATTTTTGTTAATCTGGTGGCATTTCTGTAAATATATTGAAAAAGTTTGGTCATTTATTCAATACTTTTGGTGAGTTGTTCAATAAACTGTTTACAACTTGCATTTAAGAAATTACACATGTACCCCTCAAATAGTACATGAAAAGATACATCATACATGTACCCCTCCATTGTTACTTGAAAAGATGATATTTAGAGAATTAACTGGGCACATCTCATTTTATAACATCAAGTTTTAATAATTCTTCATAATTTTATGTGTATTTATGAAATGATATATGTATGGTTTAAGATGCATTATAAATGGAAATTTAAGAATAGTCCGTCATGTTGAGCAATAATTAAGGGATAAAAGAGGTAATTTTTGTAAGGGGGAGTTTCACATTTGCTAATAAACATACAATTTTGATCTTACTATGTTTGATCATTCGTATAAGCATAAATTATTTTTTAAAAGTCAATATTTTGAAAGCATGTATATATATTGAGACTAATCCGATAACATAATTATCTATGAATATATACTAAATTAAATAATTGGTCGGGAAATATATGAATAATGTAAAAAATCAACATGGGTAAGATTTATATTACAAAACTTTCATTTCATGAATTTTAGAAGACAATTTAAGTAAAAGCAAATGAAATATCCACCTTTGTCCCTTTTTTTTTTTTTCTCATGTCATGTGCCTTGTGGACCAACTTATGATAAAGAAATTACTAGTACTAATGTAATTTGAAGATGGAAAAAATAATGTAAAGGAGGTGTGCACTAAAAAGATGCACTTTTCTTTGTTACTTTCAATTCTCCGTTCTTTTTCATCTTTTAGGCCTCATTCCAGCGGCTTATTGTCTAAATACCTTGTTATATCAAGTGTCACATTCATATCCATTTTAATCCAATTCATACATTGACTTTGGATTACAGAGATTGATACACATTATCCCCTTAAACTATTTTATTTGATTTTGGATTACAGAGATTGATTTGCGTTATCCCTTTAATTAGTTTATTACCAAATTAATAGTCACATGCATGTACAACTTTAGGATGTGTTTTGAATAAATTTGTTTGTGATCGATCGATCCATTGAAACAAATTTTTATACTTCTACTAAGATTGAGTAGCGGAGAGTGTATGAAATGAACGAGATTAATATAGAGCAATATTGTGTCATGTTACGATCCAAGTGACTTTACAAGGGTTTGGGTTCTTTATTCTATCAATTTTACAAAATATAAAAAATAATAATGAATTAGTTCAAGTAGAAGAATGCTACTGGGGGTTCCTATATGATTCCGACATGCCCTATAGATTGTAAGAAAAGTAAATTTGTCTTTTTATATACTGTGTATATATGCCACAATGGATGTGTGGGACAACTTAGAGAGGATACTAGCTTAGAAACATTAAAGATCGATGCATACTAGTTTAATTAGAAATAAGCAGTTGGAAAAAGAAGCTAAGTAGGAAGGTGACAATTAGCTAATAATAACACATATTAGTGTAAGACAAGGTAGAATCGCGTATAGTTATTTGATCATGTAAAGGACGAAGATGTGATGCATCGTTTAGGAGGCTAGTGGCAAAATAATGAGATTGTGAGGGGTAGAGTAAGATCTACGACAACTTGGATGAAAAGTGTTAAGAGATTTGAGAGCGATGATATGAGTTTAAGCATATGTATCAAGTTTAACCGTGTCAATTATTTTGAAACGGATGGAATTTACGTTATTTTCTTTCCACTCACTTCACTATATTTTATTCTTTTCTCATTATTTTTTTCCAACCCTTTTCATTTATCCTCTTTTCATTTAATTACATCTTCAAATTAATTTTTTTAGCACTACTTTTTCCCCTCCTTATCGATATGTTTTCTCCCATATCATCTAATTTGTCCTATTTTCACATTTGCACTCTATTTTGTTTCCTTTCTTAATCGACTTTGCATTCCTTGCTCCAATGCTTACTGCCGGTTTCGAATGATGGCTCATGATAGCCCACCCAAGGTGGTTTTTGTTGTTGTTGTCGTCGTCGTCGTCATTGTCATTGTCGTTGTCTTTGTTGTAGAAGAAGAATACAAGTTATGCCTTGAGGTTGAGGCTAAATTTTGGGTCGTTCGTTATATCTCTGGAAGACTGGAAGTCAAGCTAAATACTCACGTCAATGCTCAATAATTGTCAATTTTCTACTTTCTGAACTGTATCTTTGCATCATTGACTTGCTTTACTTTCATCCCAACTTCCAAGTCTTCGTGTTTTCTTTTGACAATTTGTTTGAAATACATAATTCATGTTCACACATCTAGAATCTAGAGACTAATCAAAAATTGACCCAATCCCATTGCAATCTAATAATAGTTCATTTTACGAGTAATAATAGTTATTTTAATTTTTGGGATCTGTTCTCTTCAACTTAATTTCACTTCAGTTTAATAAATCAGAACAAGTCCTTAATTACTCAAATAATTTCACTTCAGTAAATCAAAATAGGTCTTTACGGTGTGTTTGGATAAAGAAATTGGAAAGAAAATAAGGAGAAGGAAGAGAAAGGGAGGGGAGGGAAAAAAGAGGAGTTTTCCTTCCAAATCTCAACATTGTTGGAGGGATTAATTTCTTTTAATTTAATCCCTTCATTTCTACAATTCCCTTAGGATCTTAAGGTAATATAATGTATGTTAAATACGGGTCTGGGCCGCACCCGTCACGGGAGAGTGCAAGTCCACCACTTCACAAGACCAAGGAGGTTCCACCTCAAAACCATATGGCAATGAGGGGAGTAGCCCCTTAGCCTTATATTGTGGTGGTAACTCTTGAATTCTTTCAATGTGGGATTTCATTACCACTACACTCCCCCTATAGTGTTTAGTGTTTTAGTGTGGGACAAGAGAATGCTCACATGTGGATTGTTCATGGACTCAACAATGTATAATTGGGTCTTAATCCTGATCATGTGCTTTTGGTTATACAAGTAATTGCTCTTTGTTCAGAAAATTCAAATATAGCCTGAATTGTAGATTAAATTTAAATCAAGAATAGGATTAGAGTGGCCAAATTTCCTTGAGAATTATATTACTTGGTTGCACTATAATTACAAAAACTACAACCATAGTCTACAAGATGCTACTATTAATAGGTGATCCAAAAATAAAAGATGAAATAGTTAGCAGATATAATTTCTAGCTAATCCTAGATCATTTCTGTGTTCAGAAATAATCCCCTGCTTCATCTTTCTAATAAAATCCTCACACCTCTTGTTCAATTCCTCTGCTTCCTCGTCGTCTTCTTCCTCATCATCATCGACAATATCGTTATGATCATCATAAACATCATCATCATTTTGCTGATGTACATGAGCAACTTCACATTCTGAGACCACCACTTTCTGATGCTGTACCTGAAGTACTTCAGTAATAACAGTCTCTTCAACTGTCAAAAATCGCGCTGTTTTTACATCAGTAGCAACATTCTGTTCTGAACTTACAGCAGAAAACTCCTCTTGCTGTTTTCTCTGATCACCTAGTACTACTGGTCTTGGCAAACTCTGAGCTGCATTACTAGTACTACTGCTGTAATCAGAGTTGCTGTCCTGAGACGATGACATGGAAAGCGAAGACGAGCTTTTAACAAGGATTACTAAAATCCCATTACAGATTAGGAACACATGGTTCCTGTCAATGTTGAATTTCAGAATAGAAGTAAGATATACACCACTGTAGGATTTCATCAAGTGTAAGATTAGTAAAACTAATGAAGACGAGAACAAGAAAAGAGAGTAAAAATATGCAGATTGCATTTTCTTCATTGATTTAACTATGTTGAATTGTACTGATTGCTCCATTTTTTGAGTAAATTTCTGGGTTTTGATTGATTGATCAAAATCTTAATATACCAAAGTTTTTTTAAAAAAATGGAAACTTTGGTATAAGAGAGAAAATATGTGAATAGATAGTATCAGATGAAATGAGATGGTTTGAATGTTCTGATATTGAAGTGGTATTTATATAGTGGTATAATATAAAGTTTTTGAGAATGCAATTATGAAATTAAAGGTGGGGTTAAATTAAAATTGATGTTTTTGGCAGAATTTGTGTGGAATTTTGAGAACAAGAGAAGAAAGGTGGAAGTTTCAAAGGAGACCAACAAATTGAAGTCAGCTAATTTTTTATAAAAATGTTTTTGGTTTTTGGTGGGACAAAAAAAGATTTCCAAACCATTTTATTACCTACCTTTTGCCCCGTGGCATACTTCTACAATGATGAATTACTTAATATTTTCTTGCTTTCTTCTTTTGTTGCTAATTGAAGACATAATGTGATTTAATAAGCAATACTAATTAATCATTAATAGCCCCGCCGTATACAAATTAATTGTTGTCCGTCAATTGTGAAAATTTGATCTAAAGTCTTAATTAAGGATCTTATGATGTGGCAGTCATGGACAATAGCACTGTCAATTCGAGTTGACGATTTGGATTTAAGTGAGGCTGAAAGGGATATGGTCATAATCTAGTCAGTTTATAATGGAGTTGGATTGACCTAATTGGGTTGGAAGACATTTTAGCTGGATTCTAGTGGATTAGTGAGTTTGAGTCATATCAGGTTAGCTCATAGTTGGGTCTATAATGTATGGATTGCATCGGGTTTATCGGTAACAGGTCAATAAGGGATAAGACGAGATCATTTAGCTAGCTAGTCAGTTTCAGTGGGAAGTTAACTAGTGGGTCGATTCTTTTTGATTAATTTTTGTCTGATTTGAAATTGATTTATAGGATCATTTTCAGATTTTATTGACACAATTAGGTTGTAAACGAGGATTAACAAGTATAGTTTTATATCTGGTCATCATTTCAATATCAGGTTATATACATATCATCGTTGATTCATAATTTGATTAAGTTCCAAATTTTGTTATACATGGATCATCGTTTATTAGACTACAGATTATGGGCTATTATATTTATAATGAGTACAAGATTACAACACTATAACACTTTTTTTTCTTTTTTTTATCAAAAAAAAAAAATTATATTAGTATGTACTAGTTACGATGTGCTTAATTAGTTTTGACCTGCTCGTGTAGAAGTGTAAACGTCTTATTGCGTATTCCCTACAAGTAGTAATTAGTAGTTAAACAACTCACAAATTAGTAGAAACAGTTAGATCAAATGGATCACAAGTTGTAAATGGTTGATGATATAAAGGTCTCGGATTGTAAACAACTCAAGTCAAACTAGCAATACGTTGAAGCATGTTTATTTAAAGGGGTTTTTCTCTAATTTAAATGGGTTAGGTCACTAGTAAGTTTCACATTTTGTGGTAAAAATCAACAATACTAATCAGTAGAGTTAGGGTTATAAATGACAAGAAGAGTTAATGAATTATAATTTGAAATGAGTTCACTTATAATGTCATAGCATGATAAGATTCCTAAAGTTCACTTTGCTTGAATAATTTGATTCATAAGGTAAAAATTTAAATTTCTAATTTCATCAAAATTTATATTACTTAAATATAGAAAGATTCTTATTATATTGCTAGAATAATTTGATTCATAAGGAATTTTTTATGTCTTATTATTGTATGCTGGCGAAATGTATTGGATATTAGAATGAATGACAACCAAGGTCTCTGGAAAAAATAGTCTAATATGGTAATCTGTAAATGTGGTAATCATGTCCCTAACCTCATCAAGGGTGAAAGAAATGTAAGATTATAAGGATCACATCTATAATCTTTTCCAGTAATTATGGAGTAGTAAGCTAAACTTCTCGAAGTTTGATTTTCTTAACAATACGGAGTAAATCTTTATCAGCGAACTTTATGCTGTCTATATTGTGATGCTGTCTAGTGCACGTACATAAATCTTTATTGGGCAGACAATTGTATTTGTATATTTCATACTTGTATTTGTATCGTACGGTTAACAAAGTAACTCGGTCAATACGCCATTGTGGACTTTGGTAATTGGCCAGCGGATTTAAATACCAAGTCAATGTTAAATGTAGTCCTTAGGTTCAATTAAAATTTTCGAGTACAAAGGGATGGATAACTTAAATGCTTAGAGTTTTTTTTTTTCTAATTTTCGGAAATTTTAAGATCGATTATCTGATTATCATCATCCGCTCTTGTAACTTTCAAACCCCCAAAAAAAAGGAATTTTTTTAGTACAATTTAAAGGTTCGAAAACTAATGTGACCCAATTTGATATGAAATCGACTTCTAATTTGGACTTATATGGACAAAATGATTTAACATTATTATCTATTAATTATTTATGTTATTAAATAATTTATTTATTATTAACTACAGTATATTAATTATTAATTTGATTAATATTATTATTACTAAACAGAGCAGAGCAGAGCATAGTAGAATAGCTCTAAAGAACAAGGCCTAAGAGTTTTAATCGCTCATTGTTTATCATCCCTTGTTTTCCTTATTTAAAGAAAACTAATCGTTGGTGTGCGCGCTACATGCACACCCCTCAACGCTACGATTATCATAATGTACGTAAGTTTGGTCAAAATTACAAGTCATTAACCTATTACACGCACACCCCTCAACGCTACGATTATCATAATGTACGTAAGTTTGGTCAAAATTACAAGTCATTAACCTATTACTAACGTTTAATTAACGAAATGCTTATTATAGATAAGTTCAGCAGAGATAATTTCAATTCAGTAAAAATAAAGCAAAGTGAACGGAGCCTTACTCTGAATAAGGCCCTGCTCACGCACTTATTTTTGCTGCACTGAAATTATTTTTACTAAACTGGAATTATTTTTGCTGAACTTTAGAGGACTAAGGCCCCGTTCACTTCACCTTATTTTTGCTAAACTGAAATTATTTTTACTGTACTGAAGTTACATTTGCTAAACTTGAATTATTTTTAATGAGCTGAAATTAATTTTACTGAACTTAAATAATTTTGCTGAACTAAAATTATTTTTACTGATTCTCTATTATATTTTCTTCTTAAAGATACCGATTTATATTGAACTGAACTTACTTTTATTGAACTGAAATTATTTTTGTTGAACTGAAATTATTTTTGCTGAATATTATTTTTATAAGGTGAAGTGAACAGGGCCTGAAATTAACTTTACTGAACTGAAATTATTTTTGCTAAACTGAAATTATTTTTACTGATTTTATGTTATATTTTCTCTTTAATGTTATTGGTTTTTACTGAATTGAAATCATTTTTACTAAACTGAAATTATTTTTGCTGAACTGAATTTATTTTAACTGAATATTTTTTTTTAAGGTCAAGTATACATGGTCTAATCGGTAGACAATCTATACATCTTCATACATCATATGGAATTTGAAATCCAGGAATTGAAATTCTACTAGCTATTTCCCAAACAAATACTTTGGAATTGAATTCTAAGGATTCTAAGAATTCAAATTATGAAATTAAAATTAGAGGCATCCATTATTTGGATTAAAACTGAAATTCAATCCAATATAAACCGAATCATCCATTCAGATCGAATCCGAACTTTAAATCAGATCGGATCGGATTGAGGTATTTTGAAAATTCGGATTGACCCTAATTGGATCCAATTCAAATCGAAAACCAAATTGTAAAATAAGCTTGTATAAAGATGAATTTCTTTGTTTTTTGAAGTTTAGCTCAAATAATTACTACGGAGTACTACATAAAATTAAGGAAATTTTGTCAGATAACACCTTTTAAGTGTGTTTTGTTGTGAGAAAACACCTTATAAATTTTTTTTGTGAAAACACACCTAATACCAGAAATTATTTGTTAAATAACACCTTAAGGCAGTTTCCGACCTGTTGACTTGGTTGTACGGCGTTGACTACCACGTGATAGTCACGTGCACCGATTTACCCCCCCCCCCTCCTTTTTTGATTTTTTACCCTTTCTTTCCCTCCAACTTTATTTTCTCTCTCCTCTCAATTTCTTTCTCTTCCCTCTCAATTACTCCTCTTTGTCTTACCATTAAAGCACAGTGAGGAAGTTGGTCTGCCATGGCAGTGAGCTAGTGACGAATTGAATGCCTCAATTCGTGGTTTAATTTGGGCAAAGATTTCCTCATCTACCCATTCAAAGTAGTTGTAGCCTCTATGTCTTGTCTCAAAGTTGTAGAATTTACAAACTTTGAACCTCCTCCCTGGATTCTCATGTGTCCAAGAGGTCCTAACAGCAACTGGAAGACCACAAAAGCACTTCTGACCCCTAGGCATTAATGCTACCTCCATCCTACATAAAATTGCTAAGATTAATTAAACCCCCAAATCAAAAAAAACATATTTCGAATTTCAAACCCTAAGTAACCATAATTAGAAAATCAACAAAATTAATGGAATTAAACTTTAATTCATGCCACTTACCTTCCTCGTAAATAGGTTAATTGAGTATATTTGCAAAAATTGGAGCTCAAATTTGGAGTTCACCTTCTTCAAAGGGGAGCAATGGAGTTTGGGTGGAAGAGCAGGGGGTTTAATTGGGGAAGAAATTGCAGGAGAGAGAAAATAAGGTTGGAGGGAAAGAAAGGGTAAAAAATCAGAAAGGAGGGGGGTAAATCGGTGCACGTGACTATCACGTGGTAGTCAACGCCGTAAAACCAAGTCAACAGATCGGAAACCGCCTTAAGGTGTTATTTGACAAGTAATTTCTGGTATTAGGTGTGTTTTCACAAAAAAAAAAATTATAAGGTGTTTTCTCACAACAAAACACACTTAAAAGGTGTTATGTGACAAAATTTCCTAAAATTAATTAGGGAAACTTTGTATTAATTAATGACTTAAGGTTGAACTATTTATTTTACACAAATTTTTGTATGTGGCTGGCCACATGGTGTGGCCGGCCACAATTTTTATTTTAATTTTTTTAAAAATACCACAACTCTTCTCTCTCTTCTTTTCTTATCTTCTTCTCCAAGCCAAACCATACATCACCAACAATTATATCTCTACTCCACCTATTTTCTCTTCCCTCTTTTCTAAGCTTCTTCTTCAAGCCAAACCACACATCACCAACAACCATATCTCTACTCCAGCCATTTTCTCTCTGCTCTTTGTCAAATTGCTGCAATTAAAGCCCGAAATTGTAGAAATTAGGTGTTAAATTGCTGAGGAAAATTGTGATTAATTATGCTTAAGATCATCAACAACATTTGAAGGAGTGAAATCGATGAGAACCAAAGAAATGTGAGCTCGTTTTCTTTGTGGAATCTTAGATCGAACATTCTACGTCAAAAATTGTAGGGTGTTACTGGTTTGGTCAGGGGTACTTGAAGGGTGTTACTGGTTTGGTGAGGGGGTTATTGGTTTGGTCAGGTGTAACTGGTTTTGGTCAAGGGTTACTTGTAGGGTGTTACTGGTTTGGTTAGGGGTTACTTGTAGGATGTTACTGGTTTGGTTAGGGATTACTTGTAGGATGTTACTAGTTTTGCTCAAGGGTTACTTGTAGGGTGTTACTGGTTTGGTATGGGCTTTACAAGCAACCGTTGAATAAGTAACAAGTAACCCTTGAATAAGTAATTCATACAAGTAACCCCTGAATAAGTAACTCATACAAGTAACCCCTGAATAAGTAACTCATACAAGTAACCCTTAAAAAACATAATACAACTAACCCCTGAAAAAAAAATACAAGTAAATCTTGAAAAAAAAAATACAAGTAACCCCTGAAAAAAAAAATAAGTAACCCTTGAAAAAAAATACAAGTCCTGAAAAAAAATACAAGTAACCCTGACAAAACCAGTAAACCCGTTATGCGAATGAATAGTAACCCCGTTATGCGCGCGTAATCCGTTATTTTTACTGACTTATGTGGCCTGCTGCACTAAAAAAGCTTTGTTTATTTTAAACATGATCTTGAAGACTTGTATTGATATTAAAGCTTTGTTTTTATAATTGTATTAGACGCTAATAAATAATACTTTGTATAATATAACTAGTTCTTTGCCCGAGCAATGCTCGAATATTCACAAGAAAATAAATTATTTTATAAATTACTATAAGTTTGAGAAGTATCTATTTATGTTATCAAATTATTATAGATTAGATACAGTAATATAGAGAATCTATCTCTAATTTTAGTTTCCTAAGATCTTATGAATTTAAAATTGAGGTTTTTTTTTATTATTTTTTTTATTTTTTTATTTTTTAATAGAAAAATATTTCATTAATTAAAAGTCATACGACATCTACAATAGAGATTCGATATTAACAAATACATAAGATATTGAATCAAATAGAATTTTCCTTCATAAAAACTACGATCGTCGAGGCACTGCGGAGCATCTCCCGCTTATATCGCTGAAAATTACAGACTTGTTGGAGAGACAATCTAACGATCCTTTGTAGCCGTGAGGATGTTTTCCTTCTGATTCATCTGTTTGTATTCGATAACTTGATAACTTTTTCACTAACAAAATAATTTCACGACAATCCATTAGATCTGCTACCATGGATTCAAAACTAAGAAATTTCTCCCTTGAAAAGAGGAGATAAACCTTGTCTTTCGAAGGAGGTCGAAAAACCCTTGTCTTTCGAAGGAGATCGGAAACCCTTTCTTCCGAGGGAGAAAACTTCCTCCCAAAAGGAGGAAGCATTATTATAAACCTAAAAAAACAATAAAGAAACAAGGATTGAGGCTTTCCACCGATTAAAATCGATGGAAGCCCTTTCAAAATTCAACAATGGAGGCTAGGGTTTTGGTGAGAGAAATGAGGAGAGAGAAAGGAGGAAAAAGGAGATTTGGGTTTAATTTGATTAATTTAAAATTGAGTTAATATCCTTTTTTAGAATAGAAAACGAACAATACATTTTATATATTAACGATTAAAGATTCAAGGGAATATACAAAAAAATATTTTATTTAGGAAATTTTGATTTTTACCACCTTCAAATAACGACTTTATTGAATTTACCACCTCAAAAAAAAAAGATTTACTTTACCACCTCATAAAAAAATAATCAAGACTCCGGTGACGGAAAATGACTGTGGGGCCCTTTCTCACCTCCCTTTCTCACGATTTCCCTCTCTCTCCTCCCTTTCTCACCTTCCCTATTCAATTTATCACCTTCATCCTCTTCAATTTCTTCTCGCCTCTTCGATATCTTCTCTCTCCTCTGTAATATCTTCTCTCTCCATTGATTTTTCATCTTTCTCTCTGTAAAAAGTCTTGCCATTGGAACTCCACATTGGCATTTTTTCTCCTTTGAAGGTGATATGCTAAAAGAAAACATTCCCCTCTGAAATTCATTAACAAAAGCATTGAAATTAATTGTATATGAACACAATTGCCATAATCTAACCCTAATTTTACTGCCCAATTGAAATATCAAAAACCCCCAAATTAATTTACACTTACATGAACCCTAATTATTTATAATGAAATTGGGGTTGAATTAATAACACAAAACGTGCAATTTCAATTATACTTAGCAATTGCAACATAATCACGCAAACAATTGCAAAAAATTACAACAGAATTCATGAAATTTGCTTACCTTTTTGTTGTTTGTCGTCGAACAGTTCAATTGATTCAGGGCCGAGTACAATCTTCAATAATTTGATAATTTGAGGACGTGGGATTGTTAAGGATCACCCAAATTAAGGATTTGTGAAGAAAATCGCAAAAAAAAACTTCAAACTTCACGAATTTGATGTAGAAATGAAGAAGTTAGGTTTAGATAGAAGGGAAATCGAGATAATTTGGGGATAATTTCAAAAACTAGTCGTTATGGTGGGCCCCACAGGCGTTTTCCGTCACCGGAGTTAGGAATAGGTGGTAAAACTGATGTTTAATTTTTTTATGAGGTGGTAAAGTAAATTTTTTTTTGGAGGTGGTAAATTCAATAAAGTCGTTATTCGAAGGTGGTAAAAGTCAAAATTTCCTTTTATTTATTTAAGTTTTTATTGTTGCTCTATTGTTTAGGTTGCATATTCTTTTTTATTTATTTATTTTATTTTTTTTTATCAAATATGTTATTAATTTTCATGACAAAAAAGAGAAAAAAAACAATTTTGGCGGGAATTTTTTTTAATACAAACGCATACCAATTCTTAAATGGACCTGGTTCACACTAATTTATTGTGGACCACTAACATTAGAGAAAGTATGGTTGTTTTATTAATAAAAAAAAGGGTCACTATAATTAAAAAAAAGGTCACTGTGTTGAAATAAAAATCATTTTGGTAATATATAGGCCTAAGTGGTTATTTTTGTAATGAAATATTATATATACTGATCAATATGAATAATAAAGGCCACTAGGATAATAGCGTCGTATTTCAAGTTCACAATATCATTAAACGTTGTAGTAGTTTTAATAAAGGTTACTATGTTAAAAATAAGGTTACTGTGTTAAAAATAATGGTCACTATATTCAATATAATGTCAGTCGCGTGTGTATAGACCTCGGGTCCACAATAAAATTATTGTGGACCAGGTCCACGCAAGTTTTTTTTGACAAACGCAACACGTATACCTTAGGGATAAGGTTGGGGATTACTTTAGGGGCCGTTTGGTTGAGGGTAATCAGAAAAGGGAATGGGAATCAACTGGCCCCATTCCCTTTGTTGATGTTTGTTTAGCACTTTTAATCATTCCCATTACCCTCCCCATTACCCCAATTCCTTCCAACTCCATTCCCCACCCCCCTAGACTTTCCCATTCCCTTTCCCTACCCACCTTCACACCACCCCATCACCACCTTCACACCTACCAATACCATCGGAAAACCAGCCCGACCACCGCCGCCACTACCCCGACCACCGCCACCCCTCCCCCAAGCCTCGCTGCCCTCCCCTCCCACGCTAAAACCACCCCTAGCCCCGCAAAACCCCTAGCCCCGATCTCTCTCCCACCACCCGCAAAACCCTAGCCACCCCTTCCCCTCCCCTCGCCGCCCACCGATAAACGCGCGCCGCTCAAAACCACCTCCCCTCGCCGCCCAAAAACCCCTCCCCTACCTCGAAAAATCCTAAGGGAGGTTTTTCGAGGGTGAGATTCATCGATTTGGGCCCAGCGAGTGGTGGGGGAGAGTTTGTGAAGGGCGGCGAGGGGAGAGGGAGGGCCGACGAGGGGTTTCGTGGCTGGGAATGATGAAAACCATATGAATTGTGTGGTGGTGTGGTGGCTGTGGTGGTGGTGGCTGTGGTGGTGTGGTGGTGGGATTGATTCCCTTGTTTTAAAAACAAACAACAAAGCAAAAAGGGTATTTTCATTCCATTCTTCTTCTTTCCCTTTGTTCATTCCATTCTGATTCCCTCGTGCGAACCAAACGGCCCCTTAGTATATTAGTATTGAAGTATTGATGATTTAGATTTTCGAATCGGATCCAAATAACCAAATTTTAATTTGGATTGGATCAAGAGAGAACTTCGGATCGAATTAGATTGAAAATTAAAAACCAAATTATATTTTGAATTGAATTGGATCGAATTTGGGCTAGATTCAAACCGAAAATCGAACTCACACCCCTAATTGAAATCTTTCATTGGAAATGAATTGAGTATATCCAAAATGTTCCGGGGTTTGAATTGTCGTTCTCCAAAAGTGAAAGCCATGGAATCCGATCATCTTCTCTTATTTCTCTGCGGAAAATCCTCGGCGGAGAAAGATATTGCTGATTCTCTGTTTTCTAATTCCAATAATAATGGTCAATTTCAATTCTCCAATACGAATGCGAATACATCTCTTCGTCTTCAATCTCACCTTCCCCGACCTACCAACGCATCGTTTAATGTGGACTCCTTCTTCACTTCTCTTTCTACTCGTCGTTTTGGACGCTTTCTCATCTGGTCTCCTCGCTTGCCTTCTACTCACGACGTCGTTTCACAGTATCCCTCTTTCACTTCTCCTTTTCTTTCATTGTTTATTGTTACTCTTTCAATCACCTTATTCAGATATTCATTGTTGTATTTTTGGTGATGTAACAGTAATTTCAGTGAGCTTCCTGTTGGATCAGTTTGTGTTGCTGATGTTCAGTTCAAAGGCAAAGGTACCTTTTTTTATTTATTTTTATTTTTTATATCAGCTTTTATTATTTCAGTTTATTCTGCATTTTACATTGATTGTTGTGCTAAGCTTTCACATATAGTTTGTACTGGTTATAATTTACTCAACATTACAACTCATTCAGTAAATCAGTGAATTATGCAGCATTTCAAACCCCTAACTTATGTTACTTGGACTTGAGTATCCATGTCCGACATTGGGTGCGAATCCAAGCATCTGACTCGGCTATTTTGGGAAAAAAAATCTATGATTTTGAACTAAAATGAAGTGTCCGAGTGTCATACCCATGTCCGACACACTCGGACATGGGTACGTGAGGTGAAATGAAGAGTCCGAGTAACATATAACTACTTCATGCTTGTCAATGCCTAACTTTGATCATTAATGTCGTTAAGTTATTAAGTTAAATTGAATTAATTTTTTTTTGATATTTAGAAAATAATCGTTGGCACGAATGCAACAAGATCACACGTGCTTGTGTTATAGAGTATAAATAATTATAAATTGATATTATATAGTATGTTAAATAAATCAAAGTGCTTCATCTTAACAAATGAAGGAATGTGAATCTTGCTGATATAAGTGTACTTGTTGCTTAAATGTGCAGGAAGGTCAGCTAATGTTTGGGAATCTCCACCAGGTTGTCTTATGTTTTCATTTACACTACAGATGGAGGATGGACGAATAGTGCCTTTAGTGCAATATATTGCTTCTCTTGCACTTACAGAAGCTATTAAAGATCTTTGTTTTAACAATGGCCTGCCTCAGTTGGGGGTTAAAATTAAGTGGCCAAATGACCTTTACCTAAATGGCTTAAAGGTTGGTGGGGTACTCTGCACATCCACTTATAAATCGAAGAAATTCAATATCAGTGTGGGTAAATGCCGGCAAACCTTTTTTCCCCCCCTTTCAATGGTTATTATAACTTCCTATTGCCATCCTGTTGTAGTTTGATGCAAATGATCTGTTGTATTGCTTGTATGCCTATATCTTACTCCAAGATCATTGTTTTCTCTTTCAGGGATTGGATTAAATGTGGATAATAAACAGCCGACGACTTGCTTGAATGCAAGGTTGCAACAAATAGCCTCTATGTCCTGCCAACTACGCAAAGAAGACATCTTGGCCTCCTTCTTTAACAAGTTTGAGAATTTTTTTGACCAATTTTTAAGCCAAGGTAAACCAAGTTTACTTTTACTCTTTCCAATCTATTTGTAGTTAGCTTTTAGCTCTATTTAGTTTCCTGCTCACTATCTGTTTAATGTTTATGCCACTTTACTCCTGTGTGTCTGAAGGAGTATATGTGAATTGCTTCAAACCGATAAAAGACTTATTACTAGTACAGATGCTAATCAGCTATAAAATTCACGAATTTTGACAAAAGCTTGAATTTAATCAAATGGATGCATAAAACTCCAAAGAAATCTTAAGTATGATAGATCAATCATTCTACAGTGAGTACATATATTTGCGTCATTCTGCATGGAGTAAGATTTAATTGACTTCTCTCATCTACTCTTTTGATACTGAGAGGAGAGCTTTATTAGAAATGGTGAAAATTAAAAGGTATTCTTTTGTAGAATACTGATGATTCTATTATTCTTTCAGGTTTCAAACCTTTAGAGGAACTCTACTACCAGACTTGGTTGCACAGGTTAGATGCAGGCCCTATCTTGTCTAAACCTCAATTACATAGAAAAATTGCTTATACTGGTTGTCTTATATTTGTTTGCCTCAATAACCCTATCTTCTTGATTACTTTCGCAATTTACAAGTATTTGGACATTCATACCCCTTAGTTATTAATGGCTCCCTATGGTATGTAGCAAACTAGAAATACTTACTTTGGGGGTATAAACTATTCAGAAGTTTTGGATTTTATAATGTACAAGCGTTTTTTTGTGCTTTTACTTGTTTTAACTGGATGACATTAGCAAGACAAAGGGACAAATCGTTGCTGTTGCCTAAATTACGAAGTTGACTGCAGTATGCAAGCTTTTATTTCTTACATTTACAGAACAAATGGGTTGAGGCTTGAGGGTATTTTATATTTGCAGCCTTCATTAATTATTCAAAACAGGATGCACAAATTTGCATTGGGATCAGGCATAAACCATATATATTTGAACTATATAGATCCTCCAAAAGTTTAAGGTGCATGCAGGATTGCAGCTTCAAGGGTTGCAATATAGAGATTGTTGGTCAAGTGTGTATAAATGTAATACTTGAGACACTGCATATTGATCAGCTTCTGTAGCATCTTTAGCTAGAAGTATAGTGCCCTATGTTAGGTTTTTATTCAATAAATATCTTTATTCCCCTAAATTTCTTGATGGATTCTTCTAGGGACCGAAATTTTTGTCAATTTCTGGAGCAGGGATAATCTTCTGCATCCAAATGTGAATAGTTCTTGATTCTGAATGGGCTTTATTTCTGATCATTGCTTACAAAAAAAACATCTTGTAAAAACTCCTTGACTGATGATATAAATCATGTTATGTTTAGTTCTTAATCACCCAATATAGTTCACATTCAATCATTCAGTTGTATTGACTTGATGTTCTTTTGTTGTATACCTGCAGTGGACAAAGAGTTATTGTACAGGATACACGTGAAGGCCAAATAGTGGATAATGCTGCTACTATTCAGGTAATAATTCAAAGCAATGGATATGCACATATACATGTCATAAAAGGATAATGTCAATCATGTGCCCTGGTCTAGTACTACCAATTCTTCATTACTTTTTATATGGTTATGCATGCACGGTAAGATCTTTGAAAGATAATGGGAAAAACATAATTGTTAGTTTGAATACTTACATTAAGAAAATTTCAAGGTATAATTGATGAATGATAACTTTATTGGTATGTGATTCTAGCTTACAGTGGCGGATCCATGGTGGGTTCATTGAACCCACCGTGGATCTGAAAATAAATGTTTGTATACAATTTGTGTGCACAAGTTATACGGGAAGCACAATGTAGCTCACTAGTAACTCAGTGTTTGTATTATTCGCTTAGGCTTTGAGGTCTGTTCGAATTCTTGGTGGTTATTTTTTAGCTTTTTAGTAATTTTTTTTCCTTTTGTTTTTCAGTAATTTTTTCCCCCTTTTCCTTTTAGTATTTTTTTTCCCTTTTGCTTTTATTACTTTATTAAACCTCAACATCCTTTTTAATTTTTCTCCCTTTGGATTTAATTACTTTAGTAAATCCCAATACTCAAAATTTCAAATCCTTTACTTTCTCTCTCTAACTTTTGTAGACCATTTTTTTTATGGGTATTCCATTATAGTAAGTTATATGTTATCAATTGTAATTCAAAATTCGAATGTATGTATTAAATTTTAATTTATACTTCCTACCTTCTTTTTTAATTGCAATGTTCGTAATTTTACGATATTTAGACACTCCTTTGATCAATTTTTGTGATTCATACGTTGGAAAAAATTTATATAAGCAAGTGGGATCTGGTTAGATTCGTCTTGTAAAAGTACTTTCATGATATCAAGTTTTTATAAATTTTACAAAAATATAACTTAAAATATTTTAATTGTAAAATGTGCATTGACAAGCATGAAATCACCAACGTTGCAATTAAAAAAAAAAAAAAAAACTGATAACCTAAACATTATAATTTTTGATGATTCGAACCCACACTTCCAAAATCCTGTATACGCCACTGGCAGCTTAGACCCCTAAATATTTGTTTGGCGTTAGTTACTAGCAAGTTGTGTTTTGTTGGTATCTGCATTGGATATATTGGCATTTTTTGGTTCTTGTACTATATATTGATTTTTCTTGCAGGGATTGACATCATCGGGATATCTATTGGCAATTGGAGATGATGGTCAAATGTGTGAACTTCATCCAGATGGCAATAGGTTTGTAATAATGTCATCATAGATCTTTTTTCCAATGTTGATTAAGTACATGCTTTCCTAGCATAAAAAACCTGCATTGCTCATTTAGGGACGGTTTATGGCTTTATTTCACAATAGTAGCCTACCTTTTAGAATGCTTTGTGGGAGCAGCTCTCTATAGGTGCCACACTGCAGTTTATATCCTTCACTTCTATCAGCCTTGTTTGGAAAAGAGGTGATTCCTTGCATTATTGACAAAGGTGTCAAATTGAATAGTGTATTTCTGGTTTTGGTGTAGTGTTGAAAGATCAAAAATATCACAGTGGTAACTTGTAAAGAATGAAATGAGGACGTCTTAGCTGGTCTTTCATGATACTTTTACTGCAGAGTCTTTTGTTCTGCATAATGGTCAAACATTGATCCGCTTGTATGGTAGAGCATGACTTTTCAGTTACTTGGATTTCATATGCTGACTAGGTCTTTCCAAGGTTTCCTTTTGTCTTTTAGAGGTGAAGCATGGGACGAGTTTGCCCACCTTACTGGTAATGGGCCTAATCCAGATAGCATTTAGCACATACTATTTATGAGGCTGTAAAGCAATCCCTTGAAGATCTTCCGATACCTAGTGAACAATTACAACTAGTGGATTTGTGGGAGGGTTCCCGGGGCACCAGTACAAGATGTATTATAACCGTCAGTAGGCTTTGGGGACCCATTACCTTGCACCTTGGAAAGCCTGAGTAGAAATCTTTCAAGCTCTAAAACAGCCTATATTGGTACTCTAATCATAAATGAAAATAGACATGAAGTGGCTCATTCTTGCAGAATTTGCAGCCTTTAATCATGAATACTAGAGTAGTATACCCTCCCATTGCCCAATCATAAATGTCAACATTTATTGTGAAGCCCCCAAATGTTAAAACCAATGCTAACTGTCTTACTAAAGGCTATAGCTAATGTCTACATAACTCGGTTTTGATGTTGCTGGTAAGTCTCCTACGCCCTTAGCCACTTTCAGAAGATAATTGTTGTCTGCAGCATGAAGAGTTTTGTATTGATATAGAAGAAGACAAGGCTACCCATGGGACCATTATGAGATTGGGGTTAAGATGTGAGTAGAACCAATGGGAGGCCTTATGGTGGTCACTTTATCACCATAACTTATGTGACACCATGGAGACCTTTATTGGACCCTGGTAGAAAGCCTTCTTTGCCAAAAGTGAAGTGCAATCTCCACGGGTCTTTACTAGCCTCCCGCAGTCTATAGAGGACTATTTAACCTTTACATATTGTGGATACATGCATTGTGATATTTTTTTTGCAACTTTTCACCATTTTCTTTCGGTAGTATTCTGCTCTCAAGCTGTGTATATAAATTACTGTTAGATCAAAAATCTATAATATCCTTTGAATTTAAAATTTTATAATCGTGATTATTAGTATCGAATCTGTAATTAATGGGACTGAACGTATTGACTTTGAACCCATATTTGGGAGTGGTACCCAATAGCATGTTGTTGCTACAATCAGAGTTCCGCTCTATTTCTAGGAAATCTCCTAATTGCTCCAAAGCATAATTTCCCTTTGGCATAATGCCTTTCAAGCAGGTGAAAGCAATGCCATTGTGCATCATTGAGTGACGGAGGATTATATTGTGAGAGGATACCCTTTAATTGTTTGTGAACACTGGCGGACCTACATAGGGGCAAGGGGTAGCACGTGCTACCCCTCCAAAAAAAAAAAAAAATGGCATAGTGTTCAAAAAGGCTATAGCAGTTATTTTGTATATATATTTTTCCTTGTATAATATTATACCCTAATATGCGTTGGTTTGGTGGTGCGGAAGTATGGGTAAAATGATGAATGAATGTGCAGGTCAAGAGTTCGAGACCTCTAGGCTGTTTATTTATCTATTTATTTTTATCCGTTTTAAATGAAAACTTCCCATTTTCATATGAATTACTATGTAGAAATAACTTTCTCATCTACAATATGTAATAGACCGACTTTAGGGGGTAATTAAGTAAAAGACAAATTTAATTAAGAAGAAGAGAAGGAAAGAAAGCAATCAGCTTTTAGTATGTTTTATTATGGTTTTTCCATTTTCGTTAAGTAGTCACAGTAAGATTTAAGGTCAACCTTGACCATTAGTATAAGCAAGTTAGTATGTGTAACATAGGAGGTAGGCAAAAATTGAGTGAACCTCTTGAGAGACTTGTAGCCTCAAGCTACTTGAGAGATTTGTAGGTTAAAGCTACTTAGAGATTCATAACCTCAAGTTATGGCTATCCTTATGTAATCCAACCTTTAATCAATCAAATGTTCAAGTTTTTAGCCTTAAATTAATATTCTTTGTGTTAATCTTGGGGTCAGAAATCTGGTCTATAACACAATACTCTCCATTCATATCAATTCTTCCCATTTTCATGCATATCTTGTTTTTCAAAGCTCTTATTTAATCATTATTAAATTATTTAGTATTTAATCTTGTTCGGTTGATTGTTGTATAAAGCGACAATCTAAATAGTACTCCATCTGCTTTTAAATACTTGCTTTATTTCTTTATGCGTGGAGATTTAGGATAAATTGGAGAAAGAAATAAAATATAGAGGTAGTGGGGTTAGTAGAAGGTAAATTAGAGAAGAGAGAATCCAAAGTTAATAAAAAATCATTTTATTAGGTCCCACTAGTTAAGAGAAATGAATTAAATATTGTAAAAGCTTTATAGATAAGGAAATGGAGCAAATATTTAAAAACGGCCGGAAATGGAAAGTGAAGCAAGCATTTAAAAACGGAGGAAGTATATTTTACTTCGTATTATATTACGACTACTTTTTGAGCTCTAGTTATTTACGGTATAATACGTTATCTAATGCGTAGTGCTACCCCTAGTTAGAAATCCTGGATCTGCAACTGAAAGTGAACCATGATACATGTAAGTGGTGTGCTATGTATGTGAGTGTTTTGAATATGGTTCAAATTCTCTTTCAAGGAATGTTAAGGACTTATCTCCCTTCTCCACACATCCCACTGATCATTAGAAAACAACTTTATGATATCATTTTATTAATAACAGGAATACAACAAAAAAAATATTGGAGTATTAGATCTATAGATTTTCTTTTTATATCCTGGATAATTAGAAGAATTATTTCATGGATTGAAAAGACAAGAAGTTTATTAATGATGTAAGATTGAAAGATTTTTTTTGAATCTAATTGTTATTCTCATGTTCTGTTGATGATCTCAAAGAACAAGTATTATTAGAAGAAAAGAATAAAAGTTGATGATATTATTAGAGGCCATTAGCATAAGGCAGACAATTGTTGTCAAAATAATTAGAGTATTATGACAAAGAAGAATCAATTGTGTGGGTTTGCATAGGCAGGAAAATATAGGAGGTTATTAGTCTTATTACCAATATTACATCATCTCCTATTGTCTGCATGTTGAAGGAATAGGAAGAGGTTGAGAAGTTTGATAATGGCTTTAATCCAAATTTGTTTATAATATTATGTTTGAAGTTACTTGCAAATTATTATCATATTATACTAAAGAAACGTGCCAAATTTTTTATTTTCCTTAAAATTATTATGGTACTCTTTTTGATGGGTTTGTAGACCGGCTGGATATTATTGATCATTTCATCTTATTCTGTATTAGCACCTCTGATTTCTAATTGCTTCTTTTTAGATCAATCATTCAAAGTTTCTCCAACTTAATTTACATGAATTTTTAAAGACCTGTGGACATTGCAGTCAACAACTTTTAATTTGATGATTCAGTTATATCATTTAAGTTTTGTCAGTTAATGACTAATATACTTATTTTTTTATTGCGTGGCAGCCTTGACTTCTTCAAAGGACTAGTCAGACACAAATTGAGTTGAAGAGTGCTCTACCATTCTTTTTCATGTGCTATTTATGAGGTTGTTTTCTTTCCCTCTCTTTATATTTATTTGTTAAAAGATACAATTAAAACAATGTTTAATCTTGCCTTTTTATTTGTGTGTATAGTAGTGCAATCCTGTTCAGAGTCGGATTTAATGTATTTTTTGAAGCATGTCAGATATCATTGATTTGAATTATTTATGGTGTCTATATTCAACCTAGATCATATTATATTTCATTTGCCACAAATTGAAATATGTTGACCAATGTTTTGGTGATACAGAATGACAAAATAAATAACATCAAGGGGGATGTGCCTTGGTTAGTTGCTTGTGTACTTGATATTTTGGTTGCATTAGCTATTGGTGTGTTTAATTGTTGTGATTCAAAGTTTCATTCGTAGTTAATGTCAGCAAGCAACTTTGTTCGATCTGACCCTATCCATTTGTCTGTTGAACTGACTGCCCTGACTTCGCTGTTTTCTATAAGAGTAAAAGCTTACAATTATTTACTCCATCAATCTGGAAGTGCAATTAGAGGTGGTCCATAAAGAACCTAGATAGCATTTGTGACTGACTTCATCACACCCACGGTCCACACTTGTGTACTCATATCTAAATATCTATTAAGGTTTGGAATACTCATCCTTTTTTGTTTGGCTCCTTTTTGTTTTTAGGATGTCCTTTAAATATTGTCTTGTAATTATGACTATGAAAGACCATTAATTTCTTCTCACATTCACAATATTATGTTAGGCTCAAACAATTGGGTACCCTTGAGCTGTTATTCTGGGCAAGAGCCCGTCCCAAAACAATTGAAAAATAGACAGCTGTCTGTTACAATACGAGTATACGAGTAACATGCATATAATAATAATGCTTCCTATGTTAGATTATCATGATATTATGAGATGATACTAGATGGGTATAGGCGTTGAGATAAGCTCTAAGAGTAGCCGTAGTACCCAGTTTTGTTTGTTTGCAGACTTGAAGTCTTATGAAGTATCTTGTGGGCACCAATTTCAAATACAACCAAGTCATTTATATAGAAATGGACTTGGTTGTACTTGTATGAGGAAGTTGGTCTCAGCCTTTAGAAATTTGACCTTAGGGTTCGTCATTTTCCTTACCTCGGAAATAAAGAACAGCTAATGAAAATACATAAATAATAATACGATTATATAAATGTGGGTAAATAGATAATAGCAGTATGACAAAAATGGAAACAATAGAGATTTTTTGGGGCAGTTTGTTTAACAGAAGAAGAAGAGTTTGATTCATCCTCATAGACATTCTTGTCTTGGTCTGGTTTAGTCCCATGGGACTTGTACAGTAACACAATGGTGGACCAAATTTCAACTCAAGCATAAAGCTTCTGTTGCTTTCAAATCCCAGTTACCCTATGCATTTATTTGAAGTTGCCCAATGCCCACCACTAATTTCTGTGATTAAATCTCTGAATACTCTTTTTTAGCTTCTTTCTCCTTTTATCATATTAATTTTAAATTGTTGCTTCACTTTAACAGTTGTACATGTCAAACTTGCTTGCTCAAAGTCCATCTCTAGTCATTGAAGAAACTTAAGATTACTTTGTTATGTGTTACAAAGTAAATAATTGGTTAAGCTTAAGCCGAACAAACTAATGAACTTTTCGTGAATAATCTTAAGTACAGCAACATTTATTATAGATTTTGACAGCAAATCTTTCTTCCCATCTAAGCCAGAATTCTGAAGTGACATGCCTAATGGCAGTTTACATGTACTATACAAGAAATATATTCTAGAAATAACAAGATAGTGAGATATAGAATGCTGGAGGTGATGCCTGAAACAGGTGATCTAATAAAAAGTAGTACATGGTATTTATGTTGCACCTGCAGGCTGCAGGAGTGAGATTGAGCTGGAAAGAGACTAAAAAAAGGACCAATTGTTGTTTGGCAGAGTGAGTCAGCAGCCAAGAATTGAAGATAGAGAGAGAAATCTCTGGAATCAAATCCTAATCATCTTTGTTGGGTAGTATTAGCGTTTCAATTTCATCAATCAAACAGATCAACTATTCATATCAACTGAACTTGATTCGCCTTCTAGTACTATTTTCTTTTGTCAGGGATGCCTTATCTTCTCTTCCATAGTTTTTTTGTTTTACATCATTAGTAATAAGTACGTAGTATTATATTAATAATCATATTATTCGCGCATTTTTGGTTTTGGCTACTTTGTTCTTTTTATGTTGTACATGAATAAATTAATTATTGAACTTTGTACACCAATTGTGATAAGTGAATATTTGGTGATGAATTCAATTTCCCGAGTACCTATGGTGTACTCAAGTTGGGGTGTTTGATGGTGGAGTACTGGATTTGATGCTGCCAATGTCAAGGTAGACGAGCTATTATGCATGATATGAGTGAATCTGTTCATTAGTATCCAACTTATATCAGCTGGAATACTCTTCCCTTGGTTGCTGTCATCTTGTGCATTCCTTTTCCCCATTGCTTTTAATTATCTGCATTTTCTTCTATCAAGGGAGTATTGCAGTAATGCTATCTAAGGGTGTAGACTTAATCTTGGGTATCCCTATTGTCAGCTTCTGACAGCAAATTGAAGATGGACTATATATATATATATATATATATATATATATATATATATATATATATATATATAGGGTTGAGATCCAATGAGAAGGATCTTATAATGAGAAGGATGAAATGTGCATTTATTTTGAACTAAATGTGCATAATTTTTCTGCTAAATGTGCATATTTGATTTTGGACCTGATACTTTTTTTGCAATTTCTGGAAAAACGAGAACTTATGCACATTATGTGAAAAAAATATGCACATTCAATTTCGGTCAAATTTTTTTTTTGCACATTTTATTCAAAAAATATGCACATTCAGTGAAAATTTTATGCGCATAAAATCCTTCTCATCCTTCTCATTTTAAGAAACTTCTCATTTGACCCTTTATATATATATATATATTTGGAGAAAGAAATTGACTGATCCTAAGTAGAAAGAGAAAGGAGTTAGTCTTTGGTCGAAAGAGAAAGGAGTTAGTCTTTGGTCTATGATAAAAGATAACATTGGAAAAGATCTTACAAAAGTTTGTCTTCCTGTTTATATTAATGAACCAATCTCTTCTCTTCAAAAATGCTTCAAAGAATTGGAGTATTCGTATCTTTGACAGGGCAAACGCATGGGGAAAGAAGGTAATATTCAAAATCATGTAATGTTGTTTTGTCTCATCTTCATCGCCTTTTAAATATGCTATTCGTATTGCCAGAATTCCACAAATGGTGAAAATGTGCCTTGTCTTCGTGCTTGATATTGTGTGCCTACTTCAAACAAAAATATTGCAGCTTTTGTCAAATTTCTTCAATCTGCATTAATTGGACAGAGATGAGATTTCATGATGTATTTTATTTCTTTTATGAAAATCTTGTTCAATTTGATTCCCTTGAAGATGCTTTCTCATTTTCTTTTTCCTGTCATTTTTCAGATGTGTGAATTTAGGTTAGCGTACTCCCCACCTGGCCTGTTGTTGTTGGGAAGTTGATAACTGAAATTGGGTGTCTTATCCATGCGCTGTATAGAAATTACAAAGGCTTAACAATTGTTTCATATGGCTCAAACCTTATTCTTGATTGTGCTCATTGCATAATCTATCTGTGAACTAATTTACATTCTTATTCTTGATTGTGTTGTTAAAATGATTATCTTCAATGTAGCTGCGTTTGCTGTTTCTGGCTATGTCTCCACCGAGGGACGAATCTGCTAGCCATTTAATTCATTGTTGGGAGAAACTTATGAAGCTGATTTTCCTGAAAAAAGGACTCCGGTCATTCCCAGAAAAGGTTTCTATCTCTCACCTGAAAGTGCCATGTTATCAGTGATTTCAATTTTTCAATTATATTTTGTAGTGGATAATGCTTTTCATGTCATTTGGTAAGTTTTCTTATGATGATTTGGAATTGAGACCTTGAAGTTCTTGAAATAAAATAGCCTGGGTTATTATTATAGAACAAGGATACTAAATCGTTAGGTTTGTTATGATTGTTGCCTGTCATTGTGATGGAACTGGATGGAGATTATGGGGAGGCAGCAATTTGAAAAGTAAATTTTATACAACTTGATCCTGTTGGGATTCTGACCTTGGTTTGATGATGGAGAAGTTTTTCAGTGGAGTAAGGTGAGCTATATAAACTACTATATGAAGTGTTCTCTTATGCTCAATTTCTGAATTACAGAGTTATTTTTATTTTTAGGTAACCACATCCATATACATCCTTATATTAGGAAGCTATATTGCGAACACTATGGTACGATGCTTATACAGGGAAATCGGGAGTATTCCTGCAAGATGAAGTTCAAGGAGCAGTCTATTGTCGACCGAACTCCTCGACAGGTACTGTCCCTCTTCCTCCCCGAGCCAAACCTGGATGATTTTCACTCTTCACCAACAGTAAATTAACATCCTGTTTGTTTTAGTCACTGTCTACTGTTTGTTTTCCAGAGGATCAAGGCCTTTTTCTTTTTGCATTTCCAGCCTAGCCTTGTTCAGTCTTTTTTTTTTTTTTTTTTTTTTTTTTTTTTTTTTTTTTTGGGGGAGGGGGGGGGGGTTGTGAGGAGTTGGTTTAATATACTTTTGACCTGTCATGGGTAACATTACTAATTTATTAAATCACTTAAATGAATATAAAAGATCTTTTTCGGTTGTGTTTTTAAATCAGGTAGATATGATGTGAAAACACCTAAGCTTCTGGCTCATTACCCTCCTCTGCCCTTAAATAGGTCTAGAAAATGTGGAAAACTAAAGAAGAAATACATAACATTTGTTTTTTCTTCTATTTCAACTGTAGTGAACTTGTTTCTCTCTCCATTGGATACCTTGCTCTCGTGTTTAAGATTCTAGCAAGTACTTGGTAGTGTATAGGTTAATGTATGGACTGTGCATAATTATTTATACCCTGGATTAAAATTGTACAGCGTTCTTGTTCTAGAGTTGGATTTCTAGTAACCTTGTGTATTATTTGAAGATGGTGATCTTAAATTTGACAGTTGACCTTGCCTTGTTGCTCTAATACTAAGAGGACTAGGTTTATGTTGATGCTTAACACATCAAGAAAATTTTACCTGCTTTCTAAATATCTGATTGCTTTCCAGGTTCAAGGTATAGTGCAAGAAAGAAATGGGAAAGCAGTTGCTACATTGTTTGGAAAGTGGGATGAAAGCATGCATTATGCTTATGGTAAATGGTGACTGCTTAGGTAAAGGAAAGGGAGATGCTGTCTCAGAAGCCCGATTATTGTGGAGGCGAAGCAAGCCTCCCAGATATCCAACCAGATATAATCTAACTCGACTTGCAATGACATTGAATGAGCTTACTCCTGGATTAAAGGTAACTACTGAAATTCAATGTCCTTTTCTTTAATTTTGCTCAAATTCTATTTGCAAGTTGCTACAGTTCCTGATTCTACCTTTAATTACTGTTGATTGGTAATATAAATGTTTTGAGCCCACCTATAAAGAGTAAGGTCATCCCTGGACTATTCTTTTGTTGGAATGATCAATCTGGTTAGTTTCATTGTTCTAATTGAATTAGAGCTTGCAGATTGATTCATTTTTAAGAGCTGCGCCTTAGTCTAGTTAAACAAGACCTCCTGAGCAATTGTTATGCGGATACTGCAAAGCAAAGTCCATGAATTTTTTTTTTCTTTTCTATTATTATTATTATTATTATTATTATTATTATTATTATTATTATTATTATTATTATTATTATTATTATTATCATCATCATCATTATTATTAAAAAAAACCTACAAATTCAATCAATTTACAAGAAATTGGTAGGGAGCCGAGATACAATCTGGGCTCCCACCCCTCTAGCTATAGCGAACCCGATCCTACTGAAGATGTGAGCAGCTGCACGAGCACCAATATCCCGAGTCTTAGCGAACGCCTGAACCCGCTTCAGCAACGCAATAGCATCCTTGTCTAATTCCCCTAATGAAGAAAAGGAGAAAGGAAGAAAACCATAGCCATTAGCCCTGCAACGTGCCCCATACTTGTCCCGCTTCCGCTGAGCCGCCGCCAACACAACACGACCAGGAACGAAGTCAGACAACCCCGAATGTGTCAAAGGTGAAGACCCCGTCAAGTCGACACATACATCACGTCCTCTATCTCAGGAATAAAGCAACACTTCTGCTGGTCGTAGCGCCCCCTCGTTCCCACCAGTCAACCCAACGTTGACCTCCTTTCGAGCAGAAATCCCAGACCGAAAACAAATATCAACAAGGGTGTCACGAACAACGTTGTGCTGATGTTTAATACCTACTATCCCAGCACAAGATACTGCATGATCCCCATAAATATCTCCATCAAAAACCCTTGAGCAAGTAGAACACGGTGTTGAAACGGAGAACAATGGAACACCCAATCGATAGCAAAGAACACAACGGTAAGTCTTACCATTCATAGTCTGACCCAAAACCGATATCGGGACCGTTCACAACCAGGCCGAAGAGTGATTCCCCTGTTGGGACTTCCATAAGGCAACCTGACGCGGAGATAAGGAGAAAGTGGAATCCACAGATGAAGTGACCTTCGTGAAATATATATCTGCCAATTTTTTCATGAGTCTGGGGGCAGCGATCTCACTAGGGTTACTCAAAAGGCCAGTCTCCACAGTCCTGTTAAAAAGACTAAGAGCACCATCAAAGGCTGGTCCCGGACCAACAATACCAGAATCGCGAAGAAGCGTAGCCTGAAGACCAGAAGACTGGAGACGCGACTCAAGGAAAGCGTAATGCCGAACATCACCCGCCGAATATACACCCAAACCACCATAAGAAAAAGGTAAGGTGGCAAGTCGCCATTGCCAATCACCAAAACCAGGCCCCGAAGCAGTTACAATACGCTCTAAAGAAGCTCGAAGGGCCACGTCAAATGAAACCTGCGCCGTTTCAAAAAGACGAGGAGGACAAGTGCGCATAGCAAAGTAGAGTTTTGAAACCCCAGTACACGCACGGAGAAGTAACAACTCGCATTGGGGATCA